TGCAACATAAAAATATCTGGATTCATTAGAGAATTACAGCGCAACACAATGTAATGAAGATGTTGACCCTAGAAGAGCAGGTTAAAATCCGCGTCCCTCAAAACTTCCTTAACCATGCACTATTTTACCCCAAGCCTTCGCTTTTTTTTCCAGTAATGTGTTGCAATCATTTTGACAAGAGTTTTGTGAAAACCAAACTTACCTTTCTTCCACAACATTTTCCAAGACAGCTCCACTAAACTAGGTCAATTTTTCCATTTGGCTTGCTCAATGCACACGGGTCAGCACAGGCAAGGACATGAATTTCAATTGACCATGACAAAACCTTATACTAGACTGAATTGAAACTTCACAGATAAACTCATCGGTGTCTTTACGTGTAAGCCAAGTTTCAAAAAGATAAGGCTTTGGACAGTCAATGTCGGGGGGGGGGCTCTGAGATGATCCAAAAAAAGCCCAGCTCTTGTGGGATTAGAAGATAAAGTCAAACAACAAAAAGTTAACTGAATCAGCAATCAAGAAAAGTGCAAGACCTGCGATAGGTTATAAGCACTGTTCTTCCTTTTTTATTCATAATGCAGCAGTTTACACGTATGAACCAAAAGAAGCTTCATTGTTAGCACAAGGAAAAAAATATAGATTTCTTAAAGATAGCATTTTATACTTTATATTTGTTTCCCCATGGAAAAACTTGGCAAATCTCTCATGTTCAAAAAATCACCTTTGATCATTCATCTTTTTTTCGTCCATCCTGTGACATTTCCCCCTTAGCTTCCAAAGTCAACATACAGGCATAATGTAAGTTCAATCACCTTTTTGATTTCTGTGTTTATTTACAATAGATTTATCGTCGTATTTTATAATCATCAAACATTTTTGTCTTCACCCTGATATTTTTCTTCTGGGAATTGTGTATGTACAGAATATGGTACATGTTAATAAACTTTTTAATTTCTAGGACATGCAATTCAAGTCTCTCAGCAGAAAATTTCTTCTGTTTTCTTCGACTCTAAACTTCCTCCCAGCTTGTAAAAAGGGGACAATCTTTAGAAAACTACACCTACTAAGAATAGAATGGGCATGGTCATTTTCCTCCACCAAAAAAAGGTACAATGTAAGGTGTTAGCTCTGAGCAACTACACAACTGGTACAAATTCAAAAGCATTCAGTGTATCAACAGCCATAATAGTTGTTTGGGAGTCACAAACTACCCTGCTAATTTCATTCACTCCATTCACTCCAAGTTGAAAAGTACGTGTCTTCCACTGTGCCTCTATTAAATCATTTTTAATTTAGAAATCAAAAAACCACTTTTGTTCTCTATTAAGGCAATAAACAATACCATTGGATTAATCATTACATAGCCAAGATTTGTTTTCATTTATGGCAGTGATGTTTGGGACTTCGTTTACGATATGATATTTCTGCGTTTGATCAAGTTAGCCGAAACATACCGTTATACCACTGTTTCTCACCAATATTCACACTCGTACAAGGCAGACAAAAGTGACTGCACCTTGCATGCTGTCACACATTCGCTACAATGTAAGCACAAGCTTCATACATTTTCTACTAAAATGATAGAAAATATTTGTTCACAAATTTCGTCAACTCAAACCAGCAAAAGTGACACAATGCCACTTTTCATCTGTTACACCTCCATGCTACTAACAACCCAACACGCTTACTTCACTGTGCGATGTTACCCCTCATCAGGGAAGGGAAATATTCAAGTCCCTTCCCCCGATGGAATTCCAGGCTATTCCCCCAGTTGGCCCAATGCACAGTCTAAAGAGAGGCTGCACTGGCGAGAGCCCACTTTGCTAGTGTGGCCTCATTTTTGTACCAGCACAAAAATGCTCCACCAGGAGATTTCTTCTGTGCATTGTTCTGTGCAGTACTACTACTCTGGCTTCAACCAATCCCGCAGGCCTTTTTTACCTTAGAAAACTTAGGGGAACGTATCAGAAATTTACTTGGCCCTTTTGAAGGACCATTTGCTTTTGTTGTGAGGAAGTAAAACTGGCCAACATATTAGAACCAATCTAGATACCCCAAACCCAATTGTTTCCACTCGATGAATTCTGAATTCTGAAAGTTCCAGAACTGCTGGTACAGTTCTTTAAAATTAAAAATAATCAGTGGCAATGGCCCACTGCAGAGATGAAATCGAAAACCTTGTACACAAATATATCTGTACAGGAAACAGTTCTTAAAGTTAAAAATAGTTTGTCCTTTTTTTTTAAATGAAAATTTACCTTTTTGAACGTGTTAACTGCTTGTAAAAAGGAATTAAAAACAGGTGAGGTGTAGCATTAATGAAAGGCACAACTCAGAATAAGAAAAAGAACGAGACTGAGGATCCATTTTTACCCTGGTCATACCTGTAAGGTTTTACACATGCTCAGTTCCTAGGAGTTCCTAGGAACATCACACATTTGCACATGGTAGTTAGTGTATATCACTTCTTCCTCTATCGCAGATGGGAGGAAAAGGTCAGCTTCAAAATGTATTGATAAAGCTGTTTTTGAGAAACGGTATAATCCTTTTCTCTATTAAACCGTTTTGTGTTAAATATAACAGAATCTCACTTCAACTATAAACAGTGTAAACACCATACTGTGATTATTACAATGGTTCGTTCAGTTTGCATTCTCAGTGTACAGATCGCCCTCCTGGATGTACAAAAAACCCTGGTCCATGGGTGGCACTTTTGAACAATATCATCAGCACTGACTGTTAGTCTAGTTGAAAGTTCAGTAAAACTCACTTTTTGCAGTTACCAGTTATTAACCTCACCAGTACCCCCCTTAAAATGACTTTCAATCCTTTGGAATCTAATTCAAATTTCAATTCCGAAGAAGTCACAAACCAATCACAGTAACAAGAAGTTTTAGTCTCTACTAAAAAGTGTAAAATTTCTTGTGACATTTGTTTTGTTTTGTTTTTTGTTGTTTTGTTTTGTTTTGATTTGTTTTTCTCCTGATGTGTCTGACTACAGTACCAGCTGCTGCACCAGATTCAAATCAGCAATCTGCCCTGGCTGGCTGGCTGGCCGGTCTGGTGTTTGAGACGTCTGCCCTTGTAAGTGGCAGATAGAAATCCAAGCCACAGTACACCTGCCGTTTTCCCGATTCTCACCAGTCTCACAAAGCCTGCAGTATTCCGTGCATGTAACATCCACACATCCAATTTGCCAAATTAAACCGAACCAGTTAAGCCAGTGTTTGAAATATAACTTTTGTGTATAAATGACAAAAGCCTGATATTGATGTCAACACCACTGATGCAAACAATTGCATCATATGTCATCATCTAGTCTTGTATCCTATCCCCAGACCGGTGTAAAGCTCACAGTATCTTATCACGCTGACAATACTTTACCGGTTTCCTGATCACGGTCTTTTTCCTCCACTCATCACGATTATATCCAACAGCTTTATTCCATTTGACGCCCCTCCATATGCCATAACACTTGCCTTCATGCTACGGTAAATGAAAGTTGAACCTCTCTGAGAAAACAAATTTCCCAGTTCTGACAATTTCCTGCATTCCTGACAGACATTTAAATCCACTTGGAAATTCCAAAATGAAGAAATTTCCTTGTCAGTGAATTAAAAAGAGGAAAGATCACAATAGATATTTAATATAGATTCTCTAATTAATATATCACTTCCAAAAATATTTATATGCATTTGAAACAAAAAGACCTACATGACATGGTTACTTTGTTACCCAACCAAGAACTCAGTTCTGTAAATTTCTGTAATCAAAGCATTTCTGCGATCAGAACAGTAGCTGGTATCAATCAAAACAGATTTGTTCATGATAATAACAGCATTTTTAAATTTTGTTTTCTAGACTAGTATGTGACAGATGTATCCTGCTGTCACAAAATAAAACTTACAAAAACAGTTAATTTCAACTGGAATTTGTCAAAAAGATTACAATGAAAGATTAAGGCAGTAATCGATCGTTCCCTGCTAAATTAACAAAACTGGAAAATTAAATTGTTCAACTGTGGTATTGTCAGTGTCATAATATGACTTTTGTCCCAAAAGGTCGTTTTAAATTTTCAGTTCATGCCAACACCAGCAAGTAACAGGCAACATTTACATTACCTTGATTACCAATTCCACTGCAAAAGTGAAAATCAAGTCCAAGTCATGTGACACTGCACAGCCAATCAATTTACAGATAAGTCATGTGACACTGAGCCATTAATCAATTCACTGGCATTAGGTTGGATGAAACTAATTAATCACTTTGAGGACAATCAGTCGAGTGACACCAAAAATCAATCAATTTTCCAGAAGGTCAGGCAATGCTTCGCAATCAGAAAATTCCCTGGCAATAAGTTGCACAACAAGGGGTGACCTGTCCACTTCACTCCTGACAAGACATGCAACACTCATCAGCAATCCATCAGTTTGCTGATGAGAAGTTGTGACATTAAGCAATCCGGGGTCTGGAGACAGCAACCATTCCCACGCTGATGATACCTCTAGTCTTGATTAGGTGCTTGAACTAACCCATTGCATCCGGGGGGCGCATGATCAGTCATCCCAGCTGACTGATATCTCTAACAGTAAATCCTAAATAAAGCAATTACAGAACACATGGGTGCCAAACATGGCGCCCGTTCTCCCCTTCTGATAGTTTCTCATATCAGTTCTCCCCAGGGTCAGCTCCTCCTTACAGGCGCTCTCATACCATAGTGATTGGCCCCTCGTCACTGTATCTCGTCTCGGGCTTCCGATGCTCCCGGTGCTCACACAGCTTCTTCTTGATTTTCCCTGGAGGGGGCGGGGCTGCACGTGCCTGCATTTGGACCGTGAACAAAATCACACAGGTAATCTCTTGATGTCTTTTCACTAGGACTCGACATTTTTTAAACGACTTCTACTATTACCGCTATACTGTTTATAGCCCATCCGTCACTGAACTCAAAGGTTGAACTCCATGCTTTTCAGGCCTACTTTTTAGGACAAACTTTTTGTCCATTCCATCGATTCAATGACAGACATGTCACATCTACATGCATACTTGAAGTGTGCTTCAGTATTACATGTACACTATATCCAAATACATGTAGGAGATTGTAACTCACAGGCTTCAAACCAGGCATGGTCGGACTCTGAGGGGCAGACCTGGTGTAGAAAGGACAAGCGTTGGGAGATTCTGAAACAAAGGAAAAGGTGTGTATTATGTGAAGACATACAGACAAGACATTGGGGATTTGTACAAAGACTGTACTCTAAACACAAGTGCACTAGATGAACAGCAAGCATACTCCGAGCAGCCACTGTTGTATGAACAATGAAATGACATATTTTATAAAACACATCTCGGTACTCACATCCTCTCAATGTGTTTTGCACCACATTGTCCCAGTTCAGTGGGCACAGAAATATTCCTGTTAACCATCTCAACTCCCTAGGGACAATATGACCATCACTGCAGCCATTTCAGGCATTACCAGGTTAATCAACTACAAATAACCTTCTCTGCCCTCACATTTACCCATTTACACTCCCGAGTGGAGAGCGGCAAGCGGCTCTCGAGTGACTTGCCTTAGGTCACAACTCACCACATGGACCCCAGTGGTGGATTCGGACCTCGACTCTACAACCAGTGGTTACAAGCCCTAACCATGAGCCAAGTCCATCGCAAGACATCCTGTCTCAAGTTGAATCATCAGCTCTCTCCTTTCCAATATTACTGGTCACCCTGTTACTTGTGACAGGTGTTACTTGTGATGGACTCAACAGCAGCCAGCAACCCCAGCCCATTACACATCACGCAGCCCTAACAATTCCATCTTACCAGGTATGTCGGCCGAGGCAGGCCGCCTCCTGTCCACTTCGCTGTAGATGGACAGCGTCGGTAGGTTGTCCGGTAGAGGGGGCGGGGGCAAGGACGGAGGAAGGGTGGAGGGCGGCTCATCAGACTCTTCAATCTCCTGTTAGCAGAGGGAAAAGGGGATCACAACCATGTCCGGAAGTTCACAGAGGCTTTTTAAAGAAAGGTGTCCAGCAATGCAAAGATGCATGCAGGTATGGGAAAGATTACCAACCATAAACTTGATATAAGTATAAATGGGGGAAATTGAAAAGATAATTTCAAAGGCAACCCTTCCCACTGGAGATATCTCAGTTTTAAAAACTCACAGCAATCTCATGCAAAGGATTTCAAATGAAAAACAAGAGCTAAGAAAGCCACCAAGCTGATAGTTTCTGCAAAGATTTAAATATTGTGAGATCTTTTTAACTTTTTTTCAGAGAATATGTAGACTTTCCTGACCTGTGTTTCTAAACCTGTGTTTCTCGTTAACACTTGGAGCTAAAGAAAGGTGTCCAACAACGACACGACCAAAAAATACAAACTTTTCATTCATTTATCCAAAGCAATGTGACTCCAAAGGAACACCTTGGAAAACGTTAAATTTGACAAATTGAGATTGGAACTAAACTAGTGAGACCTGTGTGTTAGTACTGAGCAGTGATAAGCAGCCATGCAATGATGTGTAGTCCATTGTTAGGTGCTATTCCCGTTACGGTGAAAGATCTCGGGATTCCCCAAAAACATTTTGCAGAGAGGCAAATTTGTATGATAACTGACCTGTTCTACAATGCACTGCATTGGGAGTCCAATCACTCCCCAACCTTCCCCAATGACATATGTCATTCAGCTGTGTCATCTTTAATATGACATCCATGGCACTAACCAGCTTTGGGATGTTATCTTATGGCAAATTCCCTTGCATGTATAGTGAAGATGGTAACACACAATCCTCAAAAGAAACTATTCCTCAATCAGATTTAAACATGGATGCAAAGGGGACAAAAAATCAACACAGGGGATTTGGAAATTTTGTGTTGAACCTAACAATCCCTCAAGATTGTTGTCACTTACATGTTTTGTCTGATTGTAAAGAATGGGGTTAATCAGGCTTTTTGAGTTGTTATTATTATGAGTAATGCCACACAAAGCCAGCAGGCAATGATAAAGCGTGCCATAGCAAATTAGTCCATGAGTGAGCTGACATCTACAGCTGGAAACAGAAAGAAAAGCACAATCCAAAATTCACCCTCTGAACCCATGAGCACAAGACTAATCTCCGGTCGTATTTTTCATCTAAATATGTTGGAAAAGGCTGCACAACCAGGACCAAGTGAGGAAATCTAGCTTTCTTGAAGCAGTATGTCTTGTGAAATAAATGTGATTTTTAAAATTTATTTATTATTTTTTGGGGGGATGAGCAAATGCACACTTTTCAAGCTTGTCAACTAAAATGAAAATGGAGAGCTTGATTGAACAATATGCAGTTCATGATCATGACAATGAATCGAAGGACTTAATTTAAGCAGAAATTCTAGAAATTAGAGATAAGGAAAATGCCAGAGTGATAGATGATACACCACAAAATCAAAAATTACAATTGTACCTCAGGAAATACAAACACTGTCGGTGTCTGAGAGATTACAGTCAGTGTGGGCATGCATAAAAACAACATAAAAGACTTATTCAGAAGAGGGTGACATAAAACCTACAAGAGAACGGAAATCATATGCAGTTAGATCAATACTTTAACAGAGTCTGCCAATTAAACAGCCGCTGAATGCAAACATGTGGTCTCGGAAGGTTTACTGCATCTATCAACACATGGTTTCGTGCATATGGGAATTTCTTGTGTACCAAGTGTGAACATAGTGCTCTCTTTTAGTTTTTGAATTCAGCCACCATTATGAGAGCCTATTGAAATAAGTGGACAGAATTGAACATAACAATCTTGCCAACCCAGATTTGTGTAACCCATGTGCATTCATACTTCTTTGATACTAGGAACTGGAAGGCTGGGGGGGGGTTGCTGTTTAAAATGTGCAAAACCTACGAACATTTCCAGTCAGTCAAAAAAATCCAAGATTGATACATTTTGATTTGAATCATTTGATTTAAATTGCTATTTAAATCGGTGATTGAAATCAAGGTGATTTAAATCAGCAACCCTGACTGATGCATAATGTTCATATGCCATAAGACCATGCATCAAAATGCACAACCGGCTCATGAAAAGCCAAATATGAAATATGTACATTGTCATAAATTGATACAGGATAAAGTAATACATTTCAGCACATGTGTTTCTCTACTGGAAATATGTACGCCAATTGCATATTTCATGTTTGACGTCCAGGAAAAGGAAAAGAAACAGAATAGTCATGCCAGAAATAGTTGGAGTTATTGTAACCATGTATATCGGTTCGTTGGTCCTATCAGCGCAGCGGATGGGCTCCTTCAGGATGGATTGAGGGGACAGCCTAGATGGGCCAGGGGAGCAGTGGGTGTCTTGCCCACGACAGGGACTCTGGAACAGCCCATGGGAAAACTGGGGCACCTGCAGGTTAGCTGTGGGGAGGGATGGCCTCTTGGTGCGAAAAACTGGGGTGTAGAAGGGCGAAGCTCTGGGGACTTGGGGTGCAAGGGAGGGGTCAGTCTCAGGGAAGAGGATGGAACCCATGTCCTGTTTGAAGGAGGCCGGGCCCATGGTGTAGGGCAGGGTGTACCGAGGGGTGCCCTGGGGGTACATATTGGGGGTGGTGAGGGCAAGATTGTGAAGACAGGGGCAGGAGGTGCTGGGGGCATTGCATAAGCGTCGGACAAACTGCAGAAGAGAGTGCAGAAGGAGAGTTAAAGCTGTCAATCAGGTCACAAGACATTACAGTTTTTGGTTAGGTTTACGAGAAGAAATACAAAAGCATGCAGACTAACTTCAGGGCTCCTAATGCCGTTTTTGTCAAGATAGCCATGCAACCATTATTACATTGGATGACCATGTGAAAGCTACTTCGTGAATTTGTCTTCAGATAAGCAGATTAATTGTTGGAATTGCATGAACTTTGCAGACTAGCATAAAGCAAGATTATTTCAACAAATGAGCCTTCACAAAGTTGTTCAATTCTTACCTGAACACAAAAACGATGAAGTAATTGCACCGTACCGGTACTTGACAAGACAAATTACATAACAGCAAGCCTACAATGTAGGTGCAATATTCTACTTTAACATTTCACTACTTGGTTTGGCACACATAGTGTTTGCATACAACTTCAACACAACACAACGCCCTTTCACCACACACTATATCAAGCTGAAGCAAATGCATTCTGTGCAATGTCTGCTGAAACAGCACTGTCAGCAAGTACTTAAGATTGAGGAGAAATTTAAAAAAAAACACACACAGAACATTCCACTGAGTCTACCTCGGGAGTGACGACCTCATTGACTGAGGGGCAGCCCAGTTCCTCCACCAGCAGGGAAGGGAAGACCCCGACTCGGCCGTTCAGCTCGCCTTCCCAGAAGCCGTCGCCCTCGTCGTCCTGCTTCAGGACTTTGATGACGCAGCCTTCCGAGAAGGAAAGCTCCTCCTGGCTACAGCCCTGGTAGTCATAGAGAGCTCTGGCAAAACAAACTAATGTCAGAGAAGGGGAGGGTAGGGGTTAGATGAAGGGTCCGGTGTGAGAGAGACATAAGGTGCCTAAACTTTACAAGCTAACAACTAATACTAACATGTACAAGTACTATTTACAATTGAGATGATACGGTTAGCACTAAATTTGAATCTACAGACTTGGCTCCTTTGGGGTTTACCGATATCAAAGTGGTGTACAAGATAAAAATGAGTAAAAGATACCAACGGAATATGCCCACTTTTCTGCTGGCATGTTACACATTTATGGCCATCTCTTTGCAAGGCTATTGTTCAACCGAACATACAGGTATATCACCTTGGCCGATCAACATACACAGTAGTTAAAGGGAATTTAACATTGCCTAAAATGGTTGAGGTGCATGTATACTGACTAACTTTCTGTGTCATGATCACATGTAAAAATAGTGAATTCCAGTATGAATGAGTCATGCAGGTGAATAGTTGACACAATATGAATTTCTAACACAGAAGCGATCCCTAATACCTGCTACTTCAATGACCTTTGAGCATTTTAAAATAAAAAACTGCCTACACACAGGAACTAAATACAAAACCTGTCTAACGTGCAATCAGCGTAAAAAACAAATCAGGGCATAATTTCACAGAGATGCTAAGCTGAAAGTACTGCTTGCTGAGCAAAAACAAGCAGAGAACCAACCTGAAGTAATATACTTTGCAATACATGTTGGCCAGTATCGTGCTTTTCGCGAAGCAACACTTTCTGCGCTTGGTCAATTTCTCTGTGTGCCCGCATTACTTGGGCTGCAGCTTGACATTATGCAGGAGTCTATGATTGGTTGCAGCTGCAGCCAATTTCTATTGAGTTGTGTGTGATTTCAAGCCGCAGTCTCATACACAGCCTTAGCAGCTCTGCGGAATAATACCCCAGCCGGTGAGAGAGACCAAAATGCATGATGTGAATGGAGTGCATATCGTTGGCGGTGGTGGAATGACATGACGGAATCACACATCATCAAGGTCTTTGCTCACCCGGGCCGTCGGCCTGCTCGGACTCGCACTCACCCACAGTCTGGCCCGAGGCGCTCATGGCCTGATTGGCCATGGCTGCCTGGACTTCATAGTCGGTCAGCGAGGCCGAGGAACTGTAAGGCTGGCCCATCTTGCTCAGGTGGGACCAGCCTGGGCTGCCCTCTGACGAGTTGGAGAGTTGCCGGGCAACGTGCCGGCGCTCCACTTGCACATAAGACTCTGGTATGTAGCCTGATTGTCCGCTGTCGTTCTTAGCCTGCAATGGCACATGTATTGAGGCAATGCTGTACATTTCAATCTTTGGACTGCTTTACGTAAAGGCCATATTTTGGCAATCTTGGTTATTAAGTTCCCTTTAATGAGCATAAAACTACAGGAAATCATTCTTGGATGTGAGCAGGGCTGACAATTTTTTATGGCATTTTCAGGAAAATTGTGAACAACAGGAAACATCTGTGAAGTTTATCAGGTAAAACAATTTTTCCAACTGTGAAACACTGTCAACTGGTAACAGAACCTTGGAACACAACATTTCCTTTACTAAAACAAAGCACCATATTTTTGGTTTCAATTTTCTTATTCAGGAATTCGGGGAGGGGATATCTATGCAGAACAAGTCAGACTTATTTGCAGTGTCTGAAGCCAGAAAACACTTAATTTCTCAAATCGATGACAATAAAAATATTTCCAACATACATTATTTTATCATTATTTCCTCATTATTCATCACACTGAAGGATAACGATAATCAAGGCATCAACTGCAAGATCACTCAGCTTCCTGTGTTTATCACGAGGGGGCTAGGATTATTTACACTTCTGAAGCTAGGACCTTTGACCCACCTTGACCCATCCATCTCCTTCCGATTCTTCAATGATTTCCAGGTATTCGTGTCCCCTGATGGTCAATTCATCATCTCGCTGAGCCTGTTCGGGAAGAATAAAATGAATACAGGGTTCCATCAAACTCACAGCCTGACGCAATGAAATCCAGCTCACTGGAAGATGTTATTGTGACTTGGGTTGTTTATAAGGGGAGAGGTCAGGGCTCATGAGGGTTTCACGGCAATCATCTGAAGAAAGCCACTGTAATGCTCCTGTGTAAATGGACGTCTTAATCCCTGCAGGTTCAAAACAATTTCATCTCTACTCTCCAGGTACTGAAGCAACATCTTATTTCTGAGTTTTAAGCTTCAACAGATTCTATGACTGTTTTTCTGTCCATTTAAAATGTTCGAACTGTGTCCTTCAAGGGCACGTATTATGTAAGTTGCACACATACTTAATACGATTTCAATCACCAGTCACATAAAGTTCAAATCATCAAATATACTCAATGTTAACAAGAACAAAATACAAGGAGAATGACTAACTGAGAGAGAAAAAAAATTAGGAGGGGCTACCTTTGATCTATTTGGCTCTGCCAGATTTTGTTTGGCTTTTCCACAGTTTATTAATGTCTGACAGTCACTGACGTGACAGAGGCTTCCAAAGGAAACCAACTCTCTGTGTAGATGAATTACTTTATAATTAAATTTCTCCTAGCAACAGAGCTTTATTAGCAGACGGCAGAGGGAAGTCGACAAGTAGAGCAGACACTGCGACTGATAATCACTTTCTCCGCTTCAAGCACATTACGTATTTCCAAACTTCAAACAGTCGGAAAAGTTACACAGAAAAAGAGACTTTGGTGATTCCACAGAAAACATCATTCGGTACTAATATCCTCTTTGGAGTTATTTCAAGGAATAAACTATGAGCTATGCCAAGCACAAATGCCGAATTCATACTTATGCTAGGCACAATCCTTTTTTTTGTTAAAACAGAGAAAATAACTCGCTTAACAGAAAGATGACAGTCGCTACATGGACTTTTTCACTGCTAAGCAATGAAATTTGCTTGCGAGTGGTCATGGAGACATTTTTTATAAAATAGTTTCTTGCTCCACAATATCTCTTGGCCGCTCTGCCTGACATTCGCCATTATTTAAAGCAAATATAGGTCCTCAATTCTGAGAACGTCACCCCATTTTGCAAATACTGAAACAATGACAGTATCCATACATGTGCAAATGCAAGCCATACAAACAACTACGGTAGGAGGCATTTGACAGACGAGACTGTCTGCCTCTGATCTGCCTCTGGCCTTTAAGTCAGTCAGCCTTTTATGGTAAATATCTGGTTTGATGAAGTAATCAAACTTCCATTATCAAACTACATATTATGAAGGTTGATCATCTGTCAATCAAGAATTTGTTGATCAAACCTGGTCCTAGAGATATTTTGAAAAGAAAACCAAGGCGTCCGTCTTCCCAATTTTACAGCTTATCTTGAGACCACTCATCCTCCTAATATTTTCATAATCTCTCTGCAGATGGCAACTCTGCAATTAACGACAGGCCCACAAAGAAAGGAAGAGCTATTTCAAGTTTTTTCATTAAACTGATTCAGAAGACAGCAGGTGACATGGCTGAAAATTTAAATTGGGTTGCCAATCAAACTTGAATACTGAGAGAAAAAGCAATCAACATCAATTTTATCACTGTCTTTCTATGTAAGGCTTGATCGAACATACATGTATCTCTTTAAACTTGACTGGCTATCTAATAATATAGGATCACAGAATCAGTGTGGCCCATCTCAAGCTGGGATACATGGATACTGACTTGCACACACGTGCATCAAGCAGGAGAGCAAAGCAGATTCTCAAATGGTACGCACAAGTCATCAGCAACTTTCTAAAGTAGGAGCAATTAGAATAAATTAGAATCCAACCAATTCAAAGCATCGCCATCATCATCAGGATGAATGCAACAAGCGAGAACACGTCTGGAATGAATCCCACCCACTACAGCTCTGACACAGAAGGCCCAGAGCCACTTCAAGTGTTTGCCAATGTCCTCCTGGCTCTGACAATCCTTCTGATTTTGGTTCTCAACCCTCTGAGCCTCCTTGTCCTTTGTAAGACCAACAGCATCCAGGAGACCACCAAGATGTTCATGGTTTCACTCACCATTTCTGATATCGGCTCAGGAATCACCTCAGCTGTTCCACAGCTGACTGCCAGCATACCTGGGAAGTGGGTGCTGGGGGGGTTTCTGTGTTCGATGTCCATTATTCTGGGGCCAAGTTTCATATTGCTAAGTGTCTCTTCACTCCTGGTATTAACAGTGGATCGTTACATTGCTATTGTCCACTCATTGCACTACAACTCGATGATGACAACCAAACGAGCAAAGGTCATCATTGCAGTAGTGTGGGGCCTGGCTGCTACAGAGAATGTCATCATGTATGGCTTCAGCACCCCTACTAAATCATATGAAAAGAACACTTACTTCTGTCTGATAATTGAGTGTTCCTTTTGTGACATCATATACATTCTGAATTTTGCCATTCCTCTTGTTCTAGTTCTGATACTTTACCTACGCATTCTCAAGATTGCGCGAGATCAGGCCCGACGCATTGCAGCTCAGAATCCCGCTGGCAACCCACAAGACGGACAGAATGCCCTACAACCAATCAGCACCAAGCCTGCCACCACGGTAATCATCATAACTGGTGCCGTGTCTGTCTGTTGGATCGTGCCTGTAATCTTGAATCCACTAGTCAAAGCGAGGACCCTGAATGCTCAGAACACACTCTTCACCTTTTTGACATGTGTAGTTTACACCAACTGCTGGTTGAATGTGGTCATCTATTACTGGAGGAACAACGAGCTGCGACGAGCATTCCGTGACTTGAGAGCTACGTGTCATGGCTAACACTAAAGCACTCTGTCTAACAGTTACATACAGAAAACAAAACAGCCCAGTGGTGTTGAGTTGAGTTTACGTAGCGTTAAAACAAGAACGTTAAGTGTTCAAAGTGAATCGCATGTGCAGAAGTGCAAGACCAATACACATCTCAAACCAATGCTTGAGAAATGCGCAATCAAGTCTTGTGCACCAACAGTGGACTGAAAACTCCAAAAGAAAGATTTTGAAACAAGGGATGCTACCCAGACAGCAGCGTACATGGAAGGTAAAATGGCGCAGATGCAAGACAGCAGTGCTGCCAAAGGGACAGATTTTTAAAAGAAATAAGAAGTTAACAAATGAACTTAAGACCGCTTTCAAGCAATAAACTGTTAACTGTGCTGAGCACAAATGCCAATTTCATACTTTACATGTGTGCTAGGCACAACTGCTTTTGAGAAAAACTTGCTTAAGCAGCAAGAGGAAAGTCACTACTTTATCTGTTCAATGCCATGTGATGAAATCGTTTGTAAGTGATCATAAAATTAGTTTCCATAAAACTATTTCTTGCTTAGCAATATCTCTTGGTGGCTCTGCCTGACCTCGCCCACTATTTTAAACATAGATCATCAATTCTCAGAACATCACCCCATATTGCACACACTGAGATAGTGCACAGCGGGAGTGAAAACTTACATGTATGTCACCCATTCCGAAAATAATATCCTCTCCTGCAAGGTTTCTAACACTGCCCATTGTGGGATTAAATTTTGAAGTCATTTTAGACAATTCTCAGAAAACCTGCTATTCAATAAAAGTCAGTGCAGCAAATGCACACTGGCGTTAAAACTCACTGAATTTAATACACACAGGTTTACTTAAAAGCAATACTTTGACCAACCAAAACAGTAAGCTGCCTTTAAATGGTTCTCAATTTGATTTTTGCTTTGCACGCCAAGTTGTGAAGAAGTATATTATGCTTACCTATTTGGACCAAACCCTCGCCCACTCATCTACAGACTCTGAAGATATTTGTGACACAGAGTACTGTACATGTGCAAATGTAAGCCACACAAAGTACTAGGAGGCAGTTTACAGATGAGACTGTGCGTCCAATGATCAACCAACCATATAGACTTTTGAGTCAGTCAGTCTTTTCTGGTAATTATATGGTTTGATGAGGTAATCAAACTGCCAATATCAAACTACATACTATGAAGGTCAATCAGATTCGTCAATCAAGAACTTGTTGATCAAACTTGGTCCCAGGTTATTAAAGACTTATTTTTACATGTATAAAAAACAGTCATTCAAACAACTAGGCGGCAGTTTACAGACAAGACTGTCTGCTCACTGATCAACCAAAATAGATAGACCTTAGAGTCAGTCTTTTATGGCAAATATCTGGTTTGATGAAGCAATCAAACTGCTGTTATCAAACTACACATTATGAAGCAAAGCAATTTGGCTCATCAGGCTGGTGTTTGTCTCCAGTTTCCTTGGCATGAAACGACTGAGAATATTTGTATTCCCCCCCTCCCGATGGGATGCCAGTCCATCACAGGTTGCTTCCCCAGCTAATGCTGGTACCCATTTATACTCCTGGGTGGAGAGAGGCAAGCAGGGGTGAAATGGCTTGCCAAGGGTCACAACATACTCCCAGCAGATGGGTTTGAACCTCCAACCCTATGACTGGAAGCCAACCACTTAACCACATAATGAAGGCTAATCAAGAATTTGTTGATCAAACTTGGTCCTGCGGCTTATTTGAGAAGATACAAGGACTTACATTTTCTCAAATATACAGCTTATCTTGATACTTCCCATACAATTTCAGATTCTTTCAGAAAGTAAGAGCAATTTAAGCTTTCACTAAACTGCTCCAAAAGACAGCAGGTGACATGGTTTAGGAGTTTTAATTGGATTGTCAATCAAACTTGGATAATGGAAAAGAGCAATCATCATCAATTTTATGACTGTAAGGCTTGATCAAACAGATCTGATATAGATCAGAAAGACATGCTGGCACACTTCCAGTTGGAATACACTGACTTGCACACACATCACGGTGGAGAGTACAGGTTATTTTCAAAGGGTAAGCACGAAGTCCTCAGCAATTTTGCAAAGTGGGAAGAATTAGAATTCAACCAAATTCAAAGCACTGCCATCATCAGAATGAATGCAACAGGCGAGGGAAACATCTTGAATGAACCACACCCACTACAGCTCTGACACAGATGGCCCAGAGCCACTTGAAGTCTGCTACAACAGCGATCATCAATAACTGGAGCTATAGGCGTCTGCTGATCTACTCCCATAATCTTCATTGCATTACTCAACAACAGCACCTTTGATGTTCTCCACTTGCTCTTCACTTTTGCAAGAACTTTCTATTACACTAACTGCTGGCTGAATGTGTCATCTACCATTGGAGGAAGAGGGAGCTACGACAGGCATTCAAGGACTTGAGAGCTACATGCCGTCACTGACATTACAGAAGCAGACAGGCTTCTCTTTTTCACATCACAAACTTTTTCCTAGTTTTCATGATATTGCCCAAGTACATGTATGTTATAAACATCTTGTCTCCTATGTAAAGAGCACATCTTGTTTAGCTCAGTAAAGAAAACACTAGAGTTAGTTATGTAAACATTCCTCTTAAACGTAACTTACATCAGTAGTTACAAAAGCATTTAGTTAAATAGACATAGGCTGTGTGATGGAAATGCTATCTAGTCCTGGTTGCACATGAGCCTTAGAGAAATATGAATTTATCAAACACTAAGAGCAAAGCAGAATGTACTGATTGGTTTTGGCAGGAGCATTTTCTTGACATTTCAGGATGTTTGGAAAAAGGCAAAATCAAACTTCGAGTGTTTGCAGTGTGCAAGAATTATTTCTAATTTGGGACACATGGTCTGTGATGGGGGCGAGTCAATTTGAATAACTGAATATTTGAATATTTTTGACCTTTCGTTGAATCAAATATTCAAATACCACTGTTTGCTTTTGCCAATTTCCCATAAAAGTAAATAACGTATACGTGATTTATAAAAAGGAAAACAAATGGACAACTTGACAAGAAGTAATTGGTGGCCTTATTGGGCATTCCACTTGCCGAGTTTATATGTAGTCCTTCTGGTGTAACACTACACACCCCACAATTCAGTGGCAATCCATTGCATTCCAGTGGGAGTGACAACACAAGAATACATGTCCTATCTAAACCTCAACTTGCGAAAGTCCTGCATTTACTGTCTTGCAAAATTCAAAACTAATGCTATATCAACAAAGCCATTCCAATTACAAAGTCCACATTCTGAATACATTCTACACAAACTCCCCAAATTTGGAAAATACAGATAAATTTCACCCCTTCCCTATCCTTACTTGATAGTTATACAATGCCGTTGCCCTGATGGAGGCCTCCTGGACTGACGAGGGCTGGGCTGGGGTTGGGTCCTCGTTCAGCGTCGCCTCAAAGGTGTCATCAAAGGAATCAAAGCTGTTCATTGCACGGCTGGCATTCAGGCCATCACTCTGTGATCGCTGTAATACCAGACAAGACAAACTGAATCCGGAACAAGACTACTGGCTGTTACATGTAGGTGATGTTAGTAGTTTTTTGTCTATCTGCCCCGAGCTGAAGTGCACTTCCAATCGGCGAGAGAAAGACAGGTGGTTACAAGCGGGTTCTTGCACGCGTTCTGCGCGTACGCAAAGACCATACATGCCGCAATAAATTAGTTACGCGTACTCAGCGTGCTCCGCGTCAAACACGCATATACTTGCGCACCTCATGGTGCACCTATGCTGGGAGTACCCAAAAAAAAACATGCCCTCTTTTGTTCCGCTCGGAGCGGATAGGAAAGGTGACCTCAGTCAAAAAAACAAAGTGAGTACTTTTACTATCAAACTATTGATACATCTGAAATGTCAAATCATTAGATGAGAAAAGGATGTCATATTAGATACTGTCATATCAAGTTCAACTGTGCAATAAAAATCAACAAATTGGTTTTAGATGATCAGAAGCAAGGGAATGAGCAGTAATGCATGCAGACTGCCATCTTTCACTGATTGAAACACTCACTGGTCATGTCCCTAAAGACCGCCCTCTCTTGATACCATCAAGAGAGGGTAATCAAGAAGTTTGAACTCCCACTGGCAATCTGCTAGTAAAAGTAACTGAAATACCTCCAAGAGTCAGAAGTCTCTCAGTATCCCTACTATAAACCTATGGTATGAGTGCACCCTAGGGTTGAAACGTGTTAAGGCCCTCTGATTTTTCTGGATTGGAATGTGTGTAAGAGAGGTTTGCATGAGACCAATATGCCTGCAGCTGTTTTGGACACTCACTGCTTGGGCCGCTGCCTGCTGTGCCTTCATCTGGGCTTCTATCTCGGCTTCCTTGGCGATCGCCTCATAGGCACTGTCCAACCACTGGTCCACGTTGACTATGAAACAATGGTCAATAGTTACTGATGAACAAGGTTGATATTTTGACGAGAATCTTAGGCTTGAATATTGTGCCCAGGTACAATGTATTTCTATGTTATCCAAGCTGAATAAACGGAAACATCACAGAACTTTTACTTTCAGTAACCCTTTGCAAGGAGTCTTTTTACATTGTTATGACTCAGATCCACTATGTAAAAACAAAAAAAGAAAAAATGACCTCAGAAAGAAGTACAGCGATTCAATGATTCTTGTTTCTGTTTTTCTTTCTCTTTGGGAAACGTGTTAACCTTAGGGTCCTATTTACGTTACAAAGATCAGATTTCGATTAAAAAAATGTAAAACTGATAAATTTATTAATAACCACGGTCAATCTGTGCTCGCACGATCAAAAAAATAAGGAATAAAAGTTCCATAAAAAGCATCAAGGGGTGTTGATAAATTTCATTTTTTTTTAAAGTAATGTTTCTGTAAAAGTTTATAACAGCAAAATATTCTGAATTAAGACCAACGGTGGGCAGCTCGTCTACTTTTCTCCCTTAACAAATTCATCTAAACTTACTGCCAGCATTCTTGAGCATGTTAAGCTTGGCCTCTGCTTTCATTTTGGTGGTCTCTGATTTCCTCAGGGTCTCTCGGAGAGTCTCGTATTTCTGCTCCGAGTCCTTCTCCTGACCGAACCCACTGTCTGAGGATGTGTCTGATCCCTGGAGGGACAAAACAGGAAGATGGCGACATTGGTCCCTAAACCCTGAACTCCTTAGCATTTTTGTAAGGAACAAGTCCCAAACCTCAAGAATCTGGCACCACAGCAATAAACTGGCACAAGCTTCAAAGTCAATCCAACAGAAAAGCCGCGGGGGTGTACGATCATGCAAACTTACAAAAAGGGTGTGAGCTTGGATTTGAGGGTATTTAGTAACTAGCAACAGTAGAAACATGTGACAACATTAATTGAGCGCAAAAGTTTGGTTCGCAAAGTTCATGAGAGCATTTAATTCAAGAACATCCAAGCACAACTGTTTGCCAAGTACAAAAAAATTGTCAAAGCAAAATGACGTCAATGGCCAAGTGGTGATTTTCAGTTTACGGCATGAACTTTCTATTTCACAGCTTCATGGAAATGGGGCGCTAAAATGGAATGCATGGGTATATTAACATTCTGCAACACGTCTCTGAAAGACCACTGAGACATGAGGTAAAAAGAAACGACAACAGTGACTAAATATCTGTGAAGAGGTAAAAATATTCAAAGCAACCCATCCTCAAGGAAGAAAACTGAGGCTGTGCCCAAATCAACTGGCTGTGACTGACAGTTACACGTATCAGATGGGTGGCAGCCGCAGCAACTAAACGCAGTGGCTTCCACAGGCATTTATGTCATCCCTAGAGACAGCCACAACTTTTGCACACAACCATCAGAGATAGGACATGCACAGACAACTCACCTTGAGTTGCAAAATGGAGCTCTGCAGATCTTGGAATACCTGACCATTGTCCTCTATGCTCTTGGCTTCACGGGCGACATCGGTGGCCCATTTCCTTGCTTCTCTGTCCAAATACAGGGACTCTTTCTGGTCTATTACCATGCTCGATACCTGTGAGAAAAACAACAATTTGTCATATCATTGCAAAATCATCACAATTTCCATTTTTTTTTTATTTGGAAAGGTATCTTCCAATTTTTAACGGTCAATTCCTTTCTCATTCAATGATTCATTAATTTGATTTAGGTGAATTTAAACCATCACTGTTACACAAAGAAAGGATCTGATGCATTCAGAATATATGCATTCCAAAGGCTGATGAAACTTAGCTACATGCTCTACCAAGAGAGCTAGAGTGCAGATATGAATAATGCAGCAGGCTTTGATCATCTGTCAGTCAGACTTCAGTGCCATACCTGGTCTGTCTCTAAGGGAGAGTAGTGATACTGGAGAGGCGTAGTCAACACCGGACACTTCTGAAGGAAGCGCTGAGAGTGGTACTCCCTCGTGACCTGTGCATTGCACATTATGGCATAGGGAAGATGAATACATCAGATACCTTTAGCCCTCCTCCAGTTGTAACAGTCACAGACAGTGAAAAATTCAATGCACTTTATAGACAGGTGAAGTCACCAAAAGTCAAATTATAATCCTGGTTGGCTGAAGGCAAAAACAAGTGACTGGTAGACAACGCCAGCTCATTCATCACTGACAGTCAATGCACAGCTATGTCAAGTTACATCAACTGTTGTAGCTATTCAACACTATTTTGTAGGCAGGGGACTCTGAACTGCCTAAATTTGGACTGAGTAGAAAGTTTCGTCTGGAATGGATGATTGCGCAAGAGAGTCAGTGCTTCGGTAGAAGATTTCTTGCAACTAAAGCCCGCCTGAAAACAGAAAAAAAATGAAAAATTACCCGGCCCAGCAGAATCAACATGGATAAATGGGCCCAGTGCGAAGTGGTTAAGGGTAATGTACTCTGTATTTTCTATGATTGATTTCCAGCTTTATACAGAGAAGATCAATTTCCCTGCTTACCAGCTCATTGAACATAGGCCCTGAATTTTGCTTAGCGGCATTTTTCACTGAAGTGGGTCCAAGTTTCTTTATATAGGTAAGAGGTCTAATTAGATGAAGACAAAAATAATAATTGGATTCGCAAGTTTTTAAAGATTCCCAACCACTCATTTTTAGGGACCCACAGGATAAGTAATTCAATTTCTCTATCTTCTGGGGCTCTGTGCATGATAACCCGACAAACATTAGCTACTTCTGACTGGTTTCATCCAAGTTGATCTTCACAAGCTTGAATGTTGGACTTTCTGCTTCTTACCAGTTCGGCCTCGCCTTGCACTTTGTCAAAACACGCCCTCACATATGTGCCCAACTCGATTTCTGTCGTGGCAAATATTGAGTAGTAATCCTTCAACCTGTCATAAAAGTTGCCGTCAAGTGTCTGAGAACAAGAATCAAGAAAGCACAGAAAATTCTGAGTTACTATAAGACTCAGATCAAAAATTGATTTGACTTTTGTTTTTTCTTGTGGAGGGGACATTCAGCCTTTTCTGTTTGAGTGCACTAGAAACAACCAATGAACTTATAATTTATGACCGCAAAACTTTAACAGACATTTAAACATGTAATCTGCATTAAGGTCCACCAGAAGCACTGACCAGACTGGGCTGAATGGTTCCAATCTCTCTGTAGAGGTTTTTTTCTGATTTTTCCCTTTCAACTTAGTTTAAGGCAGGTTCACTATAAAGAGTTCTACGTATTTTCTTAGCTAAACTGTCCGACATGCAAAACATCAGTTCGCACATGACAACTGTCTTGTCTGAAGCCTCCAGACCTCAAAATCCCTACAAGGTCTTGCGACTTACTCTCTATAAAAAAAAACTCCTAGGCTCCTCCATTTCCTTCTAAAAACACCCTCTTAGTCGTGGTGAACAGCCTCATGTTTTTGCCTTCTAAAACTATCCTCCTAACTAGGATGAGTTGTTTTGTATAAACTTTAATCCGTCTGAACAAGCTTATTCAGGTTTTCCCTTGCCTAACAACATCTTGTCCCATTTCTTGCCGAGATCGACAAAGGCTGAATGGTCTTATCCATATACAGTCATCTTTTTCGTAATGGCATACTACTATAGACAGTATAAATCTCTTTCATTCTGCGCCAATAGTTTACAACATTTGACATATCGCGAGATATGTCTTAGGCTGAGTAGGACCTATGTCCACTCTCAAATAAACACATGACAACTGTCTTGCCTGAAGCCTCCAGACCTGAAATCCCCTACAAGGTCTTGCGACGTACTCTGATTTTTCAGTCTCAATGGGTAACTGGGTTGCAGTCAAGTACTCACCGAATACAAAGTTAACTGCCAGATGTTAATTTGGGGGAACGATGCTGAATATTACAGCTGAACATTACATGTGTAAACATAAATTAATTACCAAAAGATATTAAAAAGTTTGGACAATCAAAATCTTGCAGAAAGTAAGACTTTGAGACAAATGGCTTCAAAAAGTACATGCCAAGTGCTTTTTTGAGTACTTCAGCACCAAAGTTTAAGGAAAAAAATATTGTTATTTATCCAAAATCCAGAGTTGGTTGTTTCTGTCCATCTCTATCTTCAGATGCTGTAAACTGTCAATGACTCTCTCAGTAACATACAACCCGGTACTAGGTGGCAAAAAAAGTACTTCAAAAGGATTGGAATGAACTCAACTGGCTTGCTTTTGGTAATACTGCTGGGAAAAGCCTTTCGACACGCCCACCTTGAGGGTAGTCCTGGGCCGTTTTCCAATACCCAACTTCGTCTCCATCTCAGGCTTCATTCCCAAAACCAATCCCCGATTGTGGGCCTGAAGCATTTAAATTACATTGGATTACTGTAATGTTTGGCTTTCTTGCATCTTATTTGATGTTCTGTGGCACTATTAGACTGATTACTGCGCTTACAGCTTCAAAGTCAGCCAGTAAAAAAACAGTTGAAGCCTGAGACGGAGCCAACGTTGAGCATTAGAAAACGGCCCTAGTTCTATCAAACTTACAGACATGACATGTGGAAGATCTATACAGTAGAATCGCTGTTGGTGGGCATTGGCCGAGGTGATAGCCAGCAGGTAGTCATTGCGCATGTGGGCCGACCGGCGGTCGCAGGTCTCGCGCCGAGCCGCCAGCTTGGCCATCTGCTTCTCGAGGGTCGTCTTGGACTGGAAGAACTTGAGTGAACCTTTTTTCAATCTTGATTTACAAAACAAATTAAAAGAGAGGACAATTTACTTTCTTTTACAATTCAACATATTTTGACTATTTTTGAGAATTTTTATCAATATAACTCTATTTCATTTTTTTTATATTAATTAGTTCTCAATTTAGAATTCAGGCAACTATATACGCGTAATTCTGCTAAAATTAACAATTCACAAACAGTGTCACTAAAATCAAAAAGATGCCTCTGTCATCCAATGAAAATGTGCAACAAATTTATTGGTGCATTATAGCAATATTATTCTCTAACCAGCAATGCTTTTTGCTGGCAACAATAGCACAGCATTCTGTCCCACATAAATCAATGTATTTGTTAAGTCTTACAATGTGATTTACGCCTGCAGGAAAGAGTCCATTTATGGGGACTCTTTCCTAAAAGAGCATGAGAAAGAATGCATTTACAGGAGAGACGTTCAACATATGCTGGCAAGAATGCACCAGTGAGCTGCAATGCACCCTTGGGAAATGCAAAGACACATTACAATACCAATCATATCATAAGCAAATGAGTTCCCCTTTAATAACACAGGCAGCTGCACTCCAGATTGGAGTCATTTGGAGCTTTTGAAAATAGTTATTAGCTCTTGAATTTTCAAATGTCCATGTGATAGGTTTATGGCAAGCCCAACTAGCAGGCCAAACAGGGCGCACTCAGAGTAGCAGCATTACTGAATGAAGGAGTAAGCAATTAGCCTGGCTGTCCAGTATTGTAATACCACTAGTTACTGTACATTAACTACTGTCATCAGTGTTGTTTGAAAATCTGGAGGATGTGACAATCTTCCATATATACAAATGTACCTGATACAGTAAGGCCAGAACCCAGACACACGTATGTGACCTAACCTAACAACATGAATCACAAGTCGCTAGTGTCTTTCTTTTTTGCATTTTGCGGTCTTTAAAACAATCTTGCACAATGTAAGATGAGAGGAACCTAGAACATCTTTTACCCTCATTTTCCAGTTTGGACAGCTTACCAAAAGATTGCTGAATTTGCCCTTTCCAGTGCACACTGAAACAAAATTGATGAAAGAAAGATGGCCTTGAGACACAATTTGTGGGAACCGGTCACGGATCTTCGTTAGATGACAATCTTACTTATTCTCGGCTTCAAGGGCCTTTTCCCTCGCTTCTTGGGCTACCGCCTCCGTCTCACAGTAATTCTTCTTGGCTTTGGAGAGATCTCTGACTGTTGCCTGAATCTCTTCTTGGCATATGTTGAAGATGTCATCGCACTTGGGGGGAAAAAAAGATGGATGAGAAATGACACCTTGGGGAAGTATAGGGAACGGATGGAAGTCCTTTCTTTACATGTTAATGACAGTTTGAAACCACAGTTCATCTGGGCACAAAAACAACTGTCCAAAAAAGGTTCTGAGTCAACCACCCCCCCAAAAAAGGGCAAAATGCTAATCAATCTCAATGAAAAGTGCACTGATTTTGAAGCCTACAACAAAAATGGATGAGCAATGTCTGTGAGCAAGTGAAAGGATAATTACTCTTCACTTGTCTCTGTTATTTAGGCCAGATTATTTTCAGCATGGCACCCAATATGAATAGGAATTTGTGATGTTATCATGAGATACTTGTAACATGAATTCTAAACAGTTGCACACATCTCAACATTAATGAATTTACAATGAATGCTTATGACATTAAATATGCATTCACATTTGCTTTCATATCAAGTACACACGAGCCTCTAGGAAACTACAATAAGTACCAACTGAAGCCTGTAAAAGGAGCCAACAGAAAGACAACTTGGAATATAACTTGAGGTCCATCTGGCATAAATCTGTTAATCAAAAGGTCAAACACTAACCCTGGCTATGTCAACAAGATCTTGTCTGGTCTGACTCAGTGTAGTCCAACATGGCCCCCTTCAAATCAAACCAAATCTGCCAAGGTTCAATATAAACCCCACAAAAACCAATCAAATCAACTGAGATCAAACCCACTCAGACAAATCCTGGCCTGACCCAGCTCCCGTACCTTCTTTAGTGTCTGTGCCCGGGTGTTCTTCTGCATCTTGATGACCTCTGCAATCTGGGAGCTGAGCGTCTCCGAGGCCGTGAGTCGTGCCTTGGAGACCTTCTCCGTCTCATCCAAGATGGCCTTCCACACCTGCAGGGCCAGTCTGCAAAGGCCAAAAAAAAAAGGCAACACAATATCACTTATGAAATGTCAAGCAGCATAAGGTCTAATGCCAAGTTTGTGGAGAGGTGAAAACAGTGAGTTTATGAACAAATCTCAGCTCATACACCTCTTGGACACTTTCATATTGTACCACAGTCCAATGAATATAGGCTACAGCATGTACATGTACATACTCTGCTTGGACCTAATGGTACATGTATGTAAGCGTTACAAAACACTGAGTGATAAATATCAAATGTTTTGAATAAAGAGGGAACAAACAATGAATTAATGTGAATAAAAGAGTCTACAAAGACTTCCACAATATCAGAAGCTTGAACTAGAAGTCTCATGTTCCTAATATGTGTGTGCAGAAATTGATATACCTGTACGTGCATAGACTGGTTCCAGTCACTCAAGATATCAAATGGAATGGCTAGCATGTACAGACAAGCAAACTCTCACAAAAATCAAGAGTATCTAAGTAAACTGGAACCATTTCAACTCTAATGAGATAATGCGATTTGTGTTTGACACATTTGAGATGTTTTATCTTTAAAATGAAGGTTAACAGTTCGCTGTGTCTGAAGTGGCCTGCTACCAAAAAATCACTTGTGTTATCGATTTTCTTTTCACTTGTGAACCAATACAGGTACATGTATGCAGAGCACTTCCAAAAAAGATACAGTATAAATATGCCAAATTTTTTAATTTATTTATATAATAATTGTATTGATCACACTTGTTTTCTGTTATTTTTTTGATAATTTCTGACAAAGAAATTAAACAAATTACTTCAGTACAATATACCAGTACATGCACGTGTACCTCACATATGTACAAATCAGACACTGGCTCTTTACATTATGCATACAGCAAAAAACAAAAACAAATTTCTATTGGAATAAACATTATGCACTGGATACAGTCTAGTTTCCTTCAAAAGACCAGATGCCAAACCCTCAATGAATAGACCCATCATTCCAGTGCAATGATCATCTTGTACATGTACATGCATGTGATACCAGAACATACAGTACTGTACATTGTGCATGGACATTCGGCCTAGATATCGGTACATCTTATTATCCTACTGATACGTCCATGTATTGCCCATGCACATGTTCTTGTAGTCTACACAGAGATGCATGTCCAGTAGGTGCAAATCCACCTTTCTCTGGTAAATATTCAACTTTTACCCGACAGGCTCTGCATAGGCTTGAGTCAACAGGCTGCATGACTCTGAGTCATATTGGATGGAAAATTACACAGTAGTCGTGAGTGTAAATGTACATGTACCCAGCGTCAACAACTTTCCATGGCTTCTACATGTACATGTACATAGCAACTGGGAGAAGAGGGGAAAATCAGCTATTTTACTCATGGCATGGGATAATGTTTGGCACGATTATTACGCAACAACCATTAAGAAGGGTAACATTTGATAATAATAATAATAATAATTGAAAATTTATAATGTGCCGTTTCCAAAAAAATGATCAACGGCGCAGTACAAGTTAACGTAGAAAATTATTAATTTAAGAAATGAAAGGATAAGGATAAGTAAACAGCATCCTTTATAAATGGCCATTTCCACTGGCTTATGTGGAACAATCTTACAAGGAACTCAATTGGGTAGAATGTATGTATGCACACGCTAACAACTGCAACAATTGCCAGTTTGATGATAAAGTGCAAAGAAAGGACATTTTTGGCTTTGGCACAAAAAGGACAGCACTGTAAAATTGCTAATGTTCACGTAAAAGGTTTCCCAGAGAATATAATTCAAAGGAAGCTGAGCTAGCAACGCCCTGGAAGGAAGCAATTCAATAAATGGCTGGGGGCTAATAGCCTGAGAACAATGGCAATATGGCTGACAATATAAACCAACGTATAAGGAAATAGGAGATCTTTGTTAGTCTGACAATGAATGAAAGCCAAACAAAACCAGGATTCAAGAAATTTCTTCTCAGTGTTTTTATATTTTTATGTAAAAAGATGAAACCAAGTTGACAGGGACAGGGATTTTTTTTAAATCTCCAATTTGAAAAAAAATCCCAACTTTAGTTCCTAACCGTGACATCCTAACTTCAGTTTCCAACCGTGAGATCAGGTCAAGTGTTTCACACTACATGTACATGTACATCATATGTGTCAGGAACTGCTTGTAAACTGCACGCGGTTGAAGGATAGTTCTAGGGGTTGACTAAACAAACTTTTCAAAGCACAGCCTTAGCACTAACTGTCATACAAACAATGCAGTAAATGCACATCTACAATATGTACAGGTGCATAACCTCGTGTACAGGGACTAAGGCACATGACAAGTAGACCTTACATGGCATGGTCCTCACAGCAGTAGTACAATCCTAGTTAGTACACGGCTTGCAAGAGTAAGTGACTAAGGTATACAACTTGGTTGCCACTGAGGGTTCAACAAATACACGTACATATAGGCCAACAATGTTGCATGCCCCAATCCCTCAAAAGTGCTTCACACCTGCCTTTATGAGAGCCTCATCAGATACAAAGTGTAATCTACAGGTGGCATCATGACCTCCAGTGAAATTTTCAATTTGGACCTGATGTCCACCAAATTAAATGGAGGGATTCTCTAGGCAAACTTACATGTTCATCTGTACCTACATGTACATTGTACCGGTACATTTAAACCTACAGTACCCTACAACTTACAAGTCCATTCAGTTCTCCTGAAACATCCTTTCTTGAACTGGCCATTTTTTCAAATAATAAAATTCAAGACACAACTCTGTGTATTTATGGCCAACATTTGCTGCTTGAAGTCACTACCTGGCACATTCACAGTCCTTGAGTGCCGCCATGTATTTCAAAACGAGGGGTATTAACTGGTACCGGTAACTGACTTAGCCAATGATTATTCTGCAAATTTGTGGAGGTACATGTACATTCCTAGAAAAGGGATCTGTACAGGCAACTTTGCATACATGTGCATGTGTTCAGAGCACCTCAACTTCATATGTGCTATGGAGGGTGTTCATCGAAACTGTCCTGGGATGACATGAAGAAAACAGACGTGGATACGTGTACTGTACACAACCCAAAAAACATACACGTGTACATCTGGTACAAGGAAAGACACCTTAAAATGAATGTCTACCGAGTATCGCAGAAATTCAGAATCCATGACTTCCAAGGTTCTGCATGTGAACCACATTTCAGGGGTGACTGAAGCAGACATGTAGACCACTTGATCTGGGATCAGGATGTAACAAATTATGAGCGCAGAGGTGGTGTTTTACATGTACCAGTATAGTACATGGTGTTCTACAGGAGAAAACAGAGGGAAAGACACCAGAATTGTGCAAGTTTTTGGAAACCAGACTGTGGGCATGAACAGGAACTTGTCTTCCTACATGTACTGTACCGTACATGGATACATGGGTGCCTAAAGCCCCTGCATGTGAATACTGTGCACTGTTGACATCGAGCTTTGCAGACAACAAGTGTCATTTACAGAAGGCACTCCACGTACATGGGTGTGTTTGTTTGATGTGGAATTTTCTCATTCATCGCTAAAAATTTGCATATGTACTGGTCTAGTCACCTTCCGTCAATCATACCCGTAAAAAGTATTCTCTTGCATATTGACATTTATTACATGGTTTATACACTGTAAATATACCACAATCAATAGCGGAACATGACATCATACCAGTACATGCATAAGAAGATCAGGAGACACCAAGTACTGCAAAATCTGGTACTGGTACATGTAGGTACTGGTTATGACGAAACTGTGACAAAATGGTTGGAACAGGTGCTGTTAGATGCAATTCAAGTATGAACCCTTTGTGGAGATAATACATGTAGTTCCAGTGACAGCTACACTGGAGCTGCAAATACACATGGAGTTCCCAGAACTACCACTTGCACTTTGCATGTACATGTAGGCCCTATCGTATGTATTGGTAAATTGTGCACAAACTGGTACATACATGTACATGTACATGTACCTAGCATGCTGTGTAGATGTAATGTGCACATAGGTGCAGGCCTGTAGCGTAAAGTAATCAATAATACATGACACACAGTTTCATTCATTTTATTAAAATATAGCCACTATTATTTATTAATGAATAGTCTGCATGGACATATTTATATCCATGTACTCAAATAGTACTCAAATACTCAAATGTATTTTACTATTTGAATACATTTGAGTATTATAAATGTATAATACTCCAATGTACTCAAATACTTTCACTCTCCACTTGTCAAATAATTTCAAGTTCATAGTTCATGATACAATTACATGTACCTCTGTTAGGCAAAACACAACATATAGTGTGTAGAATGTACATGTACACTCTACATGTACTGTGTATGTATAGACTGTACATGTACATGTACATATACGTACATGTACATGTGGCAACACATTTGCATACTCATATTCCATTGCAACTGACCACAGAAATGCACAGTGTCAGTAACACACACAGAGCGGTGCCTGTGCACTCCATGCACTGCCATGCCTAACACTGGCGGAATAGCAGCACAATGTACATGTATACATGCCATAGTGTCCTCCATGAAGTTTCAACTTCATTTTCCCTTCAGTCTCTTACGATTGTTTACTCCAGATTGTCATCTCTCACATTTTCTCTGAAACTTTGATTACGATGGTCTTGTAATGCCCCATTAATAAAACTGCCATTACATGATTATTTCATTTTCAAGATCCAATGAAAAAAAATTAGATGACTTTTAATCAAAATTTCAGTCTGATACTAAAATAAATGCCTGATTATCAATTCATATTGTCAATCACAATAACAAACTCGTACTAACAACAGAAAGTCTCCAGGTAAAGCGACAAATGATGTGAAGAGAGTAAGCAGATTTCCCATGAAGTGAAATTTTTACACCTCCCCCCCCCAAAAAAAACCCATCTAGTGCCACATATGATGTCCCCAATCCAATGATGAGACTGCAACAATGCTAAAAGCCTACTTTTGAACAGGACAAAACCAAATAGATAAAGGTTGCCAAAGCAACAGCACCTACGCAAGTCAGTAGCTATCTTCGGAAATGCATTTTTCATACTCTCTCTCTATGGGTGCACAAAGCTGAGGGGTGAATTACCTCCAGCGATGTTTTTAATCTAAAACTAGATTTCTGACCGAGCCAGGTTCTTGCATGAATACCAAGGCACTGCACAAAACCTTTCAGTGTAATTTCTGCTGTCACTTGGGGACTTCCCTTTTGTCCAACGCAACTGCAATATTTTGTATGACTAACTTGGCAAAGGTCGGGTATTTAGAAGCAGGTCTTGCTATTTATTTTTCTAACATTTATTTTCAATTTGCAATCCACAACAGATATCAAGATAGTTGTCAAGCATGTGAGAAAACTATGGAAATTTCAGGCTTGCGTGTGATCTTCTTGGAGGGACAGATGAAAGCAATGCTCCTCACATGTTTACCAGTTGCCTTTATACTTGTCCATGTACATATATGTATATGTTAACACAAAATACACAGGTCAGGGGAGTGTGTATTAAACTGCTTATTTTAGGGTCTAGACAGCCCCCATAAGGTACAGTATATTGCAACTCGATGTCAACCTGGGAATGGGAAATTCTCTTTCCACAATTTCTCTTCCCGGGAAAATTCACATTCATTTTACAAAACGTGAAAAAAAACATTTCCCACAGTGGGAAAAGATTTTCACACGTTTTCACAAGAGTGGGAAACATTTTACGCCTTATAAAATGTGAACTGTAAATGTGAATTCTTGTAACAACATTTCCTATTCACAGTATTAACTTTCAACTGCAATACAGTGTACCTGAGGAGGACACATGAATACATGTACCGGGGTATGTACTCATGTAAAGGCCAGCACGTTTTGCAAAATATAGAAATATTCAATTCCAGCACATATGTGCATGTACATGTGCTTACGCAGTTGGTCTGGTGTGGAGCAAAATCACGAACACCTTTTTAATTTCATCCCCTGCCACCATCAATATCATTTTTTTTTCATCAAAAACAAGCACACACAAATTAGTCAAAAGAGTGAGGAACAACTTTGAGAATGAGAACTACATGTATGCAGGCCAAAATAACAAAATAATTACGGACATAAGTTTATACACACAGTATACATGTACATGTACAAATATTCATTTCAACTTAAGAAATCATGTAGGCATATTTTTATCTGGCCCAACCCGTTTTCACCTCCCAAAGGGCAATGATGGATTGGAAAACAAATGGGTCGATATCATGTACTGTAAATCACTGTGAACAACAATTCAACCATTGGTACGTACAATGTACATGTACAAGCAGGACCCTTTAATAACAAAAACAACAATGTCAGAGAGTGAGGTAGCCTTGGTGATTCACATCCGGGAATTATTGCCCTGTACCAAGTATCAGTGCAAGGTACAAACATACACAGAAAGACACTGGTTTCCCATAAACTCTAGCTTGCACTTCATTAACTAAGACAGGTGTCCAGCAGAGAGTCAGATCCCTTTTTCTAGGGCAGACTCCTCACAATATCTCCCTGAATTTATCACAGTCACACACTTGAAATGAAGTCCTGGTTAAGCCTTGTTGCATAGCAAAACAATGTTAACCCTAACAGTCCTCAATCCTCCAACAGGTGAAGGATTGAGGACTGTTAGGGTTAATTGATGGTCCACTTGACCAATCAGCTGACCAATAACCAACTGACATTTAATCTAAGTACTGTAGTGCTGCATTTGTTGTCAGCCAATGTTTTGATTTCTTTGTCACAACTGAGATTAAGTAATACTATGGAGATACTGGGAGAAACACATTTTCTGTCCATACATGTATATTAGAACAGATTTCTTGAGTGACAAGAAAATTTGCATTAATGCCAGAAAATCCTTAGAAAATTATTTTTATGGATCCACTATGTACTGTATGTGAACATTGTAAACTTCTTTTCTTGAATTCTACATTTCCTAATTTCTCACAAAACCTACATATTCATGTACATGTACATGTATCTCAATTTTGCTAACAGCCTAAAATAAAGACAGACGGAAAGTACTACACCTATCTTTTCCAGGGAATATGGTAAATGTGAAACCTCCACAAATTCCCTCTGGATTTCAAATGTACATGTACATTTACATGTATCTTCAGGTGACATAGCTGGAGTTGGAGGTGATCTGTTCTACACCAACACCCATGCTGGAACTCAGCTGCACGCCATAACATTTCCTATCCCTAGGCACCTTCCCCACACATCTTCCCCACACACCGGTTCCCAGGTGACTCTGACTGGGGGACCAGTGAGGTTAGACTGACACCATCACCTCCGTCAGAAGAGTTGGGATATAAAAATGCTAAGTTTTACCCATTGGCAAATTTTGCCGTAAAGGATTTGAATAGTGATTCTGTTCCATATTTGAAGTGCACATATGCAAGTAAATGGCAGCACTAGCTAAAAGGCAACCTTTAGCAAATCAGAGTGCTATTTATGACCCTTCTACACACCCCATGTACTCAGGGACAAGTAGAAGGTCGGTAAATGTGCTTTAAGACTGTAAACACTGCATGGCAATGCTGTGTTACATTGTAACCCACATCCTGATGCTGAATCACACATGTGCCGATACATGCCACAGCACCTGCCTTGCCAATGTTTTCCTCATTTTTGGTCGTGGTAGTGGGGTTTGAAAAAACCACAAACCGATGGGCATATTGACCAACAAGCATCCAAACAAAAACACCTTGAAAGATCAACCGACAGGTTCCACATGAACAAAAATGCAGATTTCAGAAAATTTCGACAAATTTGGTTACTTGGAACAGTTTAGCATGCATATACACAGTGTTCGGTGCTTGCAGATCGAAATTGAAGGGAGTTAACGCTGACCGGTTTAAAACTGAAAGTGCACAAGTTACCACCATAACAGTAGCACAAATTACATGTATGTGTCATACTTGTACATGTACTTGAAAGTTCACCACAGAGGTACAAGTGGTACTTCAGATTTGCAACAATTAAAAATAAACAGGTCCTGAAATATTTTCTTTTTGAGATTTTTTTTTTACTTTGGATACCCTACCTCAAAATGTGGCTTGAAGCAAGATGGAACGATGCATTTGGATGGGAGAAAAGTCAATACTGATGTAGTCTAGGTCCCCATTAAAAGTCCATTTGATATTAGATAGGGCTGGTCCGGGTAACACCTTCTGCTGGTGTCATCATCAGCGCCGATCAAAATTGTGACATACCTGTGTTGCTGCTCGTCATGTTTCTGCTCTTCCGTCAAAGTTGGAAAGACCCGCTTCTGCTGGAACTGTGCAGCAAGCTTCTGCAGAGACTGTCCAAAAATAGGGAGAAGAAAATCAATCAATCTAGCAATACATGAAAACTTGTGTCTCAGGTTTTGAGAGGCTTCACAACTAAGGACTATTCATCTCTAGATCGTTAAGCTATTAACTATCACCAAGGTACGTAACTAAGGCTCTATTTTCCAATTAACAATAATTTTTCAGTTTGATGAGAGAAATTAGGCTTTGAATATAGGCCTACTACACACCAATTACCAGTCACAAGTTAATAGCTGATGAGGGAATATCATGAAAAAACAATATTCGGTGCTTTTATCGTCTATTTTCAGCACTGTTTCCTGGTTTTGCTTTTGTGAATTAATTTCACTGTCCTGATTTCGCTTTATCATCAATCAGCCACTTTCCATCTTTGACTACACGTACTATACTAATCACATGTTCCCCTAACCCTGTGCAAATGCAGACAATTTAGAATAAGTTTTTATACATTAAATTCCTGGACACAAAAAACCGATACACCTGCAATGTATTATGTCATTCATATAAATGTAATGAGCTCTAGATGGATTAAATGGGTTTATCTGTCCTTGGGTATCTGTTACATGTAAGTCATTCCATATCAAAACAAAGCCATCAATATTGAAATAAACCAGAGAAGGACAATACAATGAGTGTACATCTGGGGAAAAAGGCCTTCATATCCTGCAGATTTGGGGTATAAATTCTATGCTTGTCTGTATTTGTCCTACTAGTACAAGTAACAGTGGATCTAGGTTATTGGTTCCATTTATATTTAGACTGTAGTAAAGTACATGTAAAACATTTTGTTGCTGTAACCAGCTCCATCTCATCTCATTACACACCACCTCAATCCTTCTTACTGTGCATGTGCATGTAATTCAACAAAACAAACATACAGTTCCAATGTACAACAAGCATGTGCATACAACATGACTTCATATCACCATGGTAACTACATGTACAACATCCATCTGTAAAAGGTCTGTAATTTACCACTTAGTAGTGTTGCTACACTACCATTAAATTAATCAATCACCCATCAACACTAGGTAGGTGTACATGTACACGTACCACACAGGGTAGCAAGGTGCCTTATAACCTGGCTTATGTATTTACAGGCAAACTGTTCATTAGAGGGTACATGTACTTATGAAGAACAAGAATTCTAAATCATGAACATTGAAAGGTTACCTTTTAAAACACCTGTTTTGTTAGATGCACTAGTACATGTATGCATCTGTATCACAGCCCACTGCCACCCACTTGCTTTCTGAAACATTTTTCCTCTTCCTAATTCTGAGCTGCTATTCCAAATTACTGCCGTGCCTTCAGGCTTCACAGTTAAGACATTCTTATTCCGTGAATCTTTTAATTCTATACCCAAGCAGAGTGTAAATACTGTATTAAAAGCCCACAGAAATTTAATCATCAGAACAGGTACGCATGTAGCTTTAGCGTCAATTGAAGACTATAACATCAGTAATGTACAGCAATGCAAAATGGAAACTCATGATGCTTCAATCTGAAATCTGAGCAGTTTTCAGAGCTCGAGCGATGGATTGGTTCCTCTCTCTAAAGCATTCTCTTCGGCCAGTGGTTGCAACTCCACACTGAAACTCAAACCGTAAGGGCCTTGAGTTGGTTCCACCTGAATTTCCTGTGGTTCTGTGAATGACTCGGCAAACTTTGGCATCACCACGAACCTGAAATATCAGCCAGCTTTCATTCATGCGATGCCACTTTAAGCTCGCCGGGAGATTCAGCCAAACATTCCTGAGTGAAAAGACTGTGTCTGACTTTCTTGGCTGTGGCTTGACAATGACATTACACACAACCCTATGGGAAGTGGCTGCAGCCACTGTACGACTGTACATTCAAACTGCAGCAAAGCAACTAAGACACAGCCTTAACATTAAAGTGAACACTACTGCCCCATAGTGTACTTGTACTGTACACGTACATTCGCTCTACTCTACATGTAGGCCTATCTTCTCAGAGGCAAGACTACATACATGTACCGTACATGTACATGCTATGCATTTCTTTCCCTACGTGTAGATGCCAATGAGAGATGTCAAAATCAGTCATTCTAAACAAGACTTCATCAATTCACATGTACTGGTACGGTGAGTTTATTGAATATGCAGTGAACCTTTGCATTAACTTGGAAAGTGGAAGCTGTCTTAGTTCTTCAAGAGTGGAAGCATAGGACCATTAAGTCAGGAACTGGAAGTGAAACTAGGGCATTTGTCATTTTTCCTGACCACAGAGGTAAAAAACCTTACCAAGACACATCCAGGTCACACAGATCAATAAGCATCTATACCAGTACATGTACGTCCCAAAATCCTTACCATGTATAGACAACAAAATTGAGTGTATACATGTAGAAACATGCTCTCATGAAAAGGACAGGTACCGGTAATTCCAGGTGGGAGGGGGGAGGCTAAACAAAACCACCACCCCTGATACAGAGGAACAAACAAACACCCCAAACTGACAAACAAACAAAAACAAAACCAAACTGTCTTTTGTTACACAATATCTATCTGGATCCCCTCCTTGCCAGTACATGTACATTCTACATTTCCATTAAAAACTAAGATAAGACTTTAACTGATTACTTAATGAGCTTGCTGAGGATGATCCACTTGGGAATTATGAAAGACACTAAGAAGATTCCCTTTTTAAACAGCACTGACAGATCGAGGGTAAACATAACCTTTGTACTCTGATCCAGATAATCTCCAACAGAAAACTGCCAAGAAGGGTGATCGATGCGCACACATTGTATATTAAACAGGGCTGCTTTATGTACACTGTACGTGCCCTGCACTTTTTCAAGCTTGCTACCGAGCTTTCAAACAAGTCATACATTTCTTCAGGGATGCTGTGTATCTAGGCATGAATGTCCTCCTGCAAGAAATGACCGCCATGGAATCTTGTGAATGTGGTGATTTATTCCTGTCGTTCCTCAGAGCTCAAACCTCATGTACCATGAGCGCTGTTTCTCAAATTGCTTCTTGTTGAAATGTTCAGTTTGAACATTGAACTTTAATGCATCCCATCTTCCCTATCATCACACTGGCCTTCTGGTGTACCAGGGATGTGCAATGGGTACACATGGCTTCATAAATGTATATATAGGTACCTCTGACTGCTATCAAGGCTTTGCAAATCAACATCACATGACATGTACATGTACACAGTCTTAGCTTAGATACCGCACATGGACCGGTTGTATACACCCACCTTGAGGGAAGTCATTGAGTCAAGTCATTGAGGGATGGGTATGAGCCATATTCCTGACTACTGTCAGGAAGCTCTTATATTTGTAATGGACATGTATGCACCAATACATGTACATGTACATAGAAAACCATGTATGAAAAAACCATTTTCACATGAGGTACATACATGTACATGTTCACAAGAAGTACTGGACTGAAGACTTCTTGAATATCTGGCAACCATGGTCATGTAACCCCAACTTCTTAGGCACTTTTTTGAGGAACTTCCAACAAATCCTCCGTTTTTACGATTCCAGTTGCTGGCATTTTGTACACATACTGGTACATGAACTTCAGTTTTCCATGGACATTAAGGCCAGTACATGAAACACTGAGCTCTACCTTGCTCGGTTTGGCAAAAATCCTCCAGAACCTCCTGGTGCCGGTGGACTGCTAAAGATATTGAGGGGAAAGGTTGTGTTAAAGAAATTTTGAAGCATCTGCATGAATACCCATTGCACAATGCCACATGTACAAGTGGGTGGTGCTTCCAATACAAATATCTGTTTGGCAAAATGACGGACGTTAATACATGTACATGTATATGAGTGGGACCTATTTGTTCTCTGAACAGGATTGGCAAAATGACGGACGTACAATACATGTACATGTATATGAGTGGGACCTACATGTATTTGTTCTCCTTACAGGTTTGGCAAAATGACGGACGTATAATGTACATGTACATGTGCGGGACCTATTTGTTCTCCTTACAGGTTTGGCAAAATGACGGACGTATAATGTACATGTACATGTATATGAGTGGGACCTATTTGTTCTCCTTACAGGTTTGGCAAAATGACGGACGTATAATGTACATGTACATGTATAGGAGCGGGACCTACATGTATTTGTTCTCTTTACAGGTTTGGCAAAATGACGGACGTATAATGTACATGTACATGTACCCGGTATATGAGCAGGACCTATTTGTTCTCCTTACAGGTTTGGCAAAATGACGGACGTATAATACATGTACATGTATATGAGCGGGACCTATTTGTTCTCCTTACAGGTTTGGCAAAATGACAGATGTTAATACTTGTGCATGTATATGAGCGGGACCTATTTGTTCTCCAAACAGATTGCAGAAACTGTTCACCTCAGGGAATCAAGCATTTCATTTGTCACCTCCTGAAATCATTTGTACCATTGCAGTTACAAATATTACTGGTTATTATAATGTAGAACATGGTCCCACCAAAGATGTGCAACCACCCCACTTCATAAAAGCCCCTCACACCCCACTCCTAACATCAAATACCGTACATGTCACTTTGCTGTGCATATCGTACACACATTAATAGTGCCCTAAAATTAAAATCACTGATAAGTCAACAAATCTCACAGGTCATCAAACTTGACTGACTTGCCTCTGCCCAGGCAAGGAAAATGAGTGGTAGAACATGTAATCCTGTTCCTTCCTGCTGGTAAATTTAATGCTGTTATTTGTGTACATGTACCTCCAAATATCTATCTCCTGGGACTCGTCCCTTCCTGTCACGACACCAGATGGTTTTTCGACAGATTTGTGAACAAAATCAACAGCAATTTTGTGAGTGGCAAATGTCTTTAAGTACAGCCTGTATATTTAACAGGTGTCCTCTGCATGTGGGTATGCCTGTACCTACTAGTACATGTACAGGTCAGTGTATGCTTAAAAGTATTCAAATTAACTTTTTTCAGGACCATTATTTCACAGGAATAGAAAGGAACATTCTTTGGTACCTGTGATGCAAGTTGACAAAAATACTGATATTTTTCCCGATCTTGATTTCTAATCAAAGTGGGAAGATACATGTATTATGCTCAGGTTCACATGCAGACTGTTGATAAATTTCCTTAACACATTCTTCAGCCTTCCAAAATTCCAATTCCCAACTCAGGAACCAACAGTAATCAGCACTGAATTTCAGACACACCAACTACAGTACAACCAGACAGGGTTCACAATACTCTTCCTTGCCCAAGGACAACCCTCAATTTTCAAGTCATAAAGCCATTTGTGAAGTTACTATTAGGGAAGGCCAACAGTGTGCTGTCAAGGATGTCCAACTACATGTACAAACAAATCCCCTCCAAGAAAAAGGGGGGCCAGCATACAGGTTAGCATTCCTCCGTGGTTTAAATGAAAAGAAGCCTGATTGGTGGGGGAGGGCAACCAGCCCAAAACTACAGTATGATTCATGATAACATGCTGTATGACACTTAGTCGTAGGTCTAGGTTAAGTGCTCAGTGATGCCTGCAGGGTACCTGAATGAACAGTAACAAGTAACCTGGCCTACATTTACTGTGATAGATATATCCTTGTTTTGAATTGGTTGCCAGATCTACCCAAGGCCAGAATGTCACTTATTTGAATAAAAGGGCTGTCAGAATCTGATGTGAAACAGTTTAACTGCAGAGAATACATGTATATCTTAATTTGCAGCACAACTGTTTGCAAATAATATTGGAAATTCTTGGTCAATCTCACTTCGACTGCAAACAGGCCCCTCAAGTGGCTCCTCTTTTGTGGTTCTACCCAAACTGAATAAGGGTACCCTGCACTGAAATACCACTGCTCACTCTTAACTATCAAAACTCTGGTTCAGAAGTACCCGTACTGTAGGAAGTCCTTGTGATTAAGTGCAGCTGTGTTGAGGAACAGCCTGGTGATGCCTGATGGATAATTATTCTGAAGGGTAGTTTAGTATAAACTCAATATGGTATGGAGGTTACTCCACTTCTAAATGTCCCATGACACCCAAAAACTCTAACCTTGGGTAAACCAATGAGCTAAATGTAAACATATGTCAAATCAATGTACCTCAACCCATTCCTTCGAGTGCTTCAAGAACAAAAAGTGCCAAGCACTTTCAAATTTGCATGTTATTTGGAATAGATGAACTGAAGGCCTTTTTACACATACATGTACAATGGAAAAACATACACTGTATGTTACTGTACCTGGTTTATGTGTTGAGCACAATTTGGACACCCTGCAAAGGTTCACACATACCCTTACACAGCTATACTTGTGGGGTATTTCCTTTGTTCTCGTGTACAAAACTCCCACACAACATGCAAAAAATTTCAAACCACTCCAATTTAAACCAAATTCACTTTCCTGAGTTGAAATTTCAACCGTATGTCCCTTACAGAAAACACTTCAATTTGCGATGGATTTTTACCCATCAAAAACTTCCCCTTTTTGAGTTATTTCCAAATATCAGTTTCGTGAAATTCTTGTGGGGTACCAATTTTGGTACCCCACAAGGTAAAAACTGGCCTTGTGGGGTACTTCCCATTGTTCCAGTACCCCACAAGGCCCCATGTATTAGCGCACATGTACAAAGCGGTACATTTACATGTACGTGTACAATACTGGCATACATGTACACACCCAAATTGCTACATGTACTTTTTTACTGATAATAATAATCCCAAACATAAATTGGCAAGTGACATATGTGTGCTCTGGAAATTGTGCGAGTGTGTGTGGTTAGCACTGGCGTCATCATTAATTACATGTACGTATTAGGGGAAAGTTTTCACAACCATAGCCAGAAATACATGTATGTGTCTGCCTCACTCAGTTTTTGTAGCATTAGTTTAGTACACTGGAGAGACATCATTGCTCCAACCAAAATTTAGCCAGAGGTTGGAGTCAATGGCAGATCCAGAACAAATTTTTGGGGGCCAACAAATGTGAGATTTTTTTATGTAATCTTTAATGGCTTATCTGAGGGGCAAGGCAGTTTGAGCACATGTAAATGCTTTTGGAAGGGACATAACATGTACAGTACAAAGATTAAAAAAGGTTCGCTTTTTTCTCATTTAAAAAACAAAAACAAACAATTAGGAGGAAGGGCCTTGGTACCAACTGCACCATTCCCCTCTGCCTCTAAATATCTGCCTTTGGTTGGAGTTTGTCCATTGTTGGTAAGATGGCAAAATACACTGAAAGTCACCTCCGATTAAATATTTGTTACTAAACTTGACAAAATATTCTCTGATGTAAAAGAGAGACAGATGGGCAGCATTGCAATAGTGATGAGAAATATGTCCAATTTTTATATAAAATTAAAAACAACGTCTGTCAAGCCTATCATTTGCTACTGCTATTTAACCAAATGACAGCTGATCACGCCTCGTGAAAATGTCAAAATCCACATAACTTGTCTATGCTGACGCACATGTACACTTCAACTGTCATGATGACACAATGACAAAGTCTACTTTCGTTAGCTATAAATTATGCATCACATTTCACACTTGAGCACTGCCCTAGTTTAACATGCACTTGCAATGTTCCAGCTCAATGACACTGCGTGTAGTAACATCCAGATAAGAAAGTCATTATACACTAGTACAGCTATGATGCACACCAACACACATGGTTAAAGTCATAACTCACTGAAACTGCCAAACAATGGGTTAAACCAAAGTCAAACTATACTTCAGTTTTACAATCACAGGTTCATTACCATATGATGATGAACCCATTCGTACCATACACTTGGAACCAATGTGACTGAGTACCATAAACAATCAGGTTACGTGCCCTGTGGTGAGGTCCACAGTGTTTACATTGTACACATGACAAACAATAAACTATTTTCTCATCAGACAGATACATGTGATGTATATCGTTTTGCCCTGCTTGTGTCACATAATTGATTGAAAGCACACCATGTTATGGTCATGTTGACAGCTCCTTGATATCATGTAATCACTGTGGTTTTTGGGGCTCCTTTCTTATCACACTGTGCAAGACAGGGCACTCTTCTCTCACTATTTTGTTTGCAAAGTTAGAACTTGCTTCTTTGCCTTTTTCTTTCAGATTTTTAGATCAGCTCTATTGTCAAATGTTTTCAATTATTCAAATGTGTCTACTGAGTTTCTTTGGTGAAAATGGCTGTTTGGGAGGATGTACATGTACACTACCGGTACATGTACTGGTGGTGGTAGGCTGACATGCTTTTGCCTTTGCCTTTAAGTGCAGTCTGTAGCCCATGGTGAAGTGCCATCAATGCCTATATTTACTCAACAGTAGTTGTTTGGGGCAGCATGTCTTTTGAACCCTGGATCGTAATCTTACAGCTCTGATAAAGTCTAGAACAGCTGAAGAGTGACAGGCACTATGCCCAGATCCATGTACATGTATGGTACCAGGGTAGCGCCTGCACATGCACTGTACGAGAACTCACATGCACTGTACGAGAACTCATAAAGTACATGTACAGTGCAGATACAAGTACATTCATTGACCATGACCATGTACGGTACATGTAACTCTGCAAGCATGGATGGTGCAGAAAGGATACACTTTTCTTTCATAATCTGATGGCAGAGGGGAATTACCGATACATTCATTATAAATTCTCAATGATCTGTGTACTATCATCATTTATATTATTGTACGTCCTGGATGAAACTTGAAAATCTAGATTACAGAACTTTCACTTTTTTGTGTGATCAGGTAAATAGAAAGAAGATTATGTCGGTTTGTTGGCTGACAAACCTGTGGCAAATGATTTAAATTCTTTGGGTACAAGAATGGGCACTCCTTTAATTGTTCATGGAATACATGTATCTGCAACAAAACCATAAATTTTGTAAAAAAAATTTTAAAAATTGAAATGAAGGGTCGTTTTCATTGTTACAAGGAATAAAAATTAAGGAAAGACTTTACTGTTTCCCTTAACAATGAAAAAAAACAGAGCCTAATAAGAACATAGAGCAGATTCAAATCCTTTATTACTGCACCAGTTTGTTGTGCCTTCTTTAAGCATGCAGGTCCGATCATCTGCTGTCAAACTATGCATACAACAATGCATGCAGAAACAATGCACCATACAGGACTCATGCTTCGCTGCTTCAATTAACAACTTGTTTTTCTTTCCTGGCCTAAGTCCCTGCTTTGTCCCTTGGGACACCTGCATCCCTGCAGTGAACTCTACCCCTGTATACCAGATGCCCCCTGAACTCTACCCCTGTATACCAGATGCCCCCTGAACTCTACCCCTGTATACCAGATGCCCCCTGAACTCTACCCCTGTATACCAGATGCCCCCTTCAAGTTCTTTTAATCTTTCATAGATGGCATGGCAGGAGTTGATCTTTCTTACACTACAATGCCTGCTGAATCAATAATGTTGTTCCAGGCATGCCAGGCATGTGGTTCATTAGTTTCTGTGCCTGTGCAGGTAAACTAAGTACACTTTTGTTCGGATCTATAGTCCCAAATCCTCCCTTTTCCATATGATTTTACATACACCCAAGGGGGATAGGGTTAAGGGAAAAATGTCACCCACCTGTGCGTATGTCCGCTCTAAAGATGCTCGTTGTTTAGAAAATTCTCTGTTAAATGCAAAGGGGACAAAAACCACTGGTAGTGTTAGTTGGTGTCTTATTGGTACCCAGGGTTAAAAAGACTCTGTGTACATTCTGAAGTGACTGTCGAAGTCAAGTTTCTTCCAACTAAAGATACATTCAGCAAGAAATGAGACCGAGGAGCACCCCCATGATATGTCCAATCGCTATGCACACTCTAGACTATTGTTATCTAACACATACCCCCCTTAGATGTCTGAAAAGAATTCCTCAGATTCCAGTGAGACCATGACCAACATAAAGGGGGGGGGTTCTCTCCATCTCATATCTTGTTTCATATGACTGAAGAATACAAGAAGTAAACCACTGGTAACCACACCAAAAATGTAGGCCTTACATTTATGGGGTTTCAGAAAGTTCAAAGTTCATTTGAGGGTTTAAATACACACTGCCTTGACAATCAACATCTTTTCGTTCAACTGTAAATCTGTGTGACAATTTCACTTTGAATTTTTGTTCATTTCTTGATACAAACACATATTTTTCTTTGACGGTCATAGTTTTTCTTCTCTAAAAACCTTTTCATAGCTACGTGTACACGTACATAAAGAGCACCAACTCTGGCAAATAGTATGGGAAAAAGTTAAAATACATTCTCAAGCAGTCATAAACTCATAATTAACCCATACCAAATGTACATGTAGGTCCATGTTAAAACAAAGGGAATCAGGTAAACTTGCCCCCTTGCCAACTCGTCCCCAGACCGACTTACCCTTACCATCTCGCCCCTTTGCCACCTCGCCCCCCCGGCTGAGTCGCCCCCTTGCCAACTCGCCCCTGTCAAACTCATGTCCCGTCCAAGTCGTCCCCTCAGTGGGAGTCTGCTGGTTTTGGACCATTAGCTACATTTTCAAAGTGATAAAATGTGTTCTGGCGGAAGGCAGGATGTTGAGGATTTCCAAGAGTTACATAGGCCTAATAAACTTGCATTCATTATGATAAAGTCCCTTTGTCCAGTTTATATTTTTACATGCATGTGAGTCGGATTTGACTTCTCAAAATGGTGTCCTCATTTTTTCTTCGGCTTGGCCCCGGTGTATGTCACCATGAAATAAGCGCAGAAAATTCTCAACAACTCCAGTATTTTAAAGATGGTGGTAATGGTAATAGTAAAAAGGAGACGAATGCCGCTGAAGTTGAGAATCAAGAAAATTTTACTTTCTTTAAATATAATTTGAGTACGTGCATATTTAAAGTGAGATTCAAACAAAACCAGTTACACAGAACAATTTAAATACCCTCCTAATACAGCCAACTCGTTTGGAATTATTTTTCAATGTATGTAGAAGCCGATCAGTTCTGAAAAAGATATTTTTCCTGGACTATCACCCATCAGGCACTGCTCGGGATGGCTTGCCATAGGTCAAGGTGATGCGTGCCAGACATATGAACTCTAATGGCAACCACAAAACATACGCTTAGCGTGCTTTACAATCAACTGAATGCAAGTTAATTGAATGATTCTTAATAATCCTCTTAAGGTGAACTCCTCAATGTCCTGCCTTCTGCCAGGACACTTATTATCACTTTGAAAATGTAGTTAATGGTCCAAACCAGTGGACTCTCCTCTGAGGGGGCGACTTGGTGGAGGAGGCGAGATTGCCGGGGGGGGGACGAGTTGGCAAGGGGGAGACTNCGGCTAGGGGATGACTTGGCCAGGGGTGAGTTGGCTAGGGGCAAGATAGTAAGGGGCAAGTCAGTCAGGGGGCAAGATGGCAAGGCCAAAGGGAGTAAGTTGACCTACAATCTGTAATTCCATCTTACAAAGTGGTGCAAATGAAGTCACACCTGAATTACAAAAACTGTACCCTGAACAAATCATACTAAAGATGTGACAAATCCTGGGGAGGCATTACTGCTATTTAATAGCAGTGCAGGAAAACTAACATCATTCCATGAGAACAAAAAATGCTGGACACAAAATCAGGCATTATAGGCCTACATTAACAAATTACATGTACATGTACATTGGCCTAGGCCTAATGTAGGCCTAGTCAAAATTACTTCGAGCTGGCTGATACTGCTGGAGGTGTCAGGTCAACTCGACCATTTGCCAACTCGACTCGAGTCAACTTGACTCTCGACTGTCGACCAAATCAACCGTTGTTCCTTCAACTGTAAAAGTCAACATGACTCTCAACCAACTTGACTGTGCAAATGGTGCAACAGGGAAAGGGCATAGAAGGAACGCATTTTTCCTAGTTTTGGATCGCGCGTGTAATTTGTTTTACTGCGCGTGATGTGATCTGTGCATGCACAGAGTGTGGTGACAGATTTCGGGGGTTCGTGCGTGCTTCTTTTCAAATTGGGAAAATTCTTTTGGAGTATTTCATTGGCACAAGTTCAACTACTGATTGCATTTCAGTTGATTTAGTGGGTTCATTGAGCCGAAATTAACATCCATAAATTTTGCGATCTGGAACCGATCCGATCATTAATTTTCCCCTTTTAATATCTATTTTTCAAGGAAAGGGTTTGTCTAGTAAACCCATGTATCAATCATGCAGTCGAGTTTGCAAACGGTCGTGTTGGTAAATGGTCGAGTTGACTTGACTTTGAAGTCAGGTTGGTCAACGAACGAGTTGGTTCAACGGTCGAGTTGGTCGACGGTCCAGTTGGTCAGGAGTCAAGTTGACTCGAGTCGAGATGGCAAACGGTCAAGTTGACATACAACCCTGCTGGAGCATCATGACAATGACCACAGTAAAAGATGGCCAATCAACGGGAACTTAATTTACATGATTTACCTAATCTCTTCTAGTAAATCTGACTCCTGCTGAAACTTTGAGTGTAGGCTGGAGAGTTGTTCGCTCTGAACCGCTCGAAGCTCCTGGCCGAGTTTTAACTGTGGGTAAACAGCAAACAAGCCGGTGAATTGAAATGACCTTCTTTGTGCTGCACGATTTCAACATTGATGGAACTAGGCCTAAATACGGTGGTTATAAATAAATGTGAACATGGTGAGCTAAGGAAAACGAAAAAATTACTCACTTTCCTCGGCGGTGGCTGCAAATTTTCAGCTTTGTCAGACATGACTGGAGCCAAAGAACGGAGAGAAAACTTGTTAATCTCTCTTCTTATCAGAACCAAAATCACCTGTGGCTGTGACAGCACATCGCCATCCTCAGTTTACGTTGTGTGTTTGGCGCAGACAACTTTGTGTACGAATAATGCACGTTTCAAATACTAAAGGGGGCTATGAGCCAGTTTTCTTGTGCAAGACCAATATGATGTTTGTAACTACATAAATATGTCTGTTCCGGTAAAAATGACCCTCTGAAACTGATGAAAACTGCAGAACAGTCCACGGTTGTAGCCCACGGCTTGGGGTGAAATTCCGGTGACGGAAGACATGCAAGAGTTGATTATACAACGTGGACGTCAGAGGGCGCTATTTTAATGTTTCCTCTCAGTCGGCGCCGCGGCGGCCGGCGTTTACGGAACTTTTTGGTAGGGGTGGAAATAATGAGTCAGACTGCCAAAAATTACTTTGCACAAGTGACAAGTTTATAATCCCAGGTATTTACCAGGCATTAACGTACACAAAAAAATTCAGTCTGAAAGAGCTTACAAAAGAAAAATAATCAATATCTTGCCACCATTTTCCAGACTAGAATGGGTCTTGACACAGACCCATTAATTTTTAATTATGGATTATTCTATTAGTAACACGGATGTCATTTGGAACTAATTCCCAACATGCTGGTAAAATCAACCAATGGATGGTTTGATTTTGTGTCCTATTTTTTTCAGATGAGCCAACAGATTTCAAAATTCCTTGTCAGCCTAAATCTTGCACATCTATTTACAAAGTCGTATGAAAAAAAAAAAATTTGCAGGCAATGTTTTCATTTTTTTTTTTAATTTTGTTGGTGGATTTTCTACGTTAGAGAATCCACAAGTGTAGTCACATTCAGAAAATGAATGAATGCTGAATATTAATGAATGAATATTTCTGAATGTTGTGACTAACACAGACGCACCCAATGGGTGGGGCTTGTGGCCCCGCCCCTATCTTTTGTCCCCTACCTTCTGAAGAAATAATTGATACATGTACATCTTAAATTACAAACTCTGGTATAACTGTTCACCCCAATCTCCTGTGGTGCAAGCAGGGGGAGGGGAGTGAGCATACGAGCTTTTTGGGGTGTGGGTGTGTGGGTGCCATTTCACTGCATTTACTAACAAAACTGAAAAATAAAAGTGTATGTCAGTTGATCCGGATTTCAGAGGTACTGAATGTGCAAACATTTATATTTGTTGGGGGCCAACAAGAAAGTTGTGGCTATTTAAAATAAAAATGGTTGCAGGCTGCACATGTATGAACTCATGCAGGCCAAATCACGATTTACATGACTAAAGTTCAGGGCCACTTGTGGGCCTTGTGGTCTTGAAATCAAAACTGCCAGCTGTCACAGGAGTGCTTGCTGGTAGGACCATTCCAGTGAAAGTCTAATCAATTTGTCAGATGAAGACATCATTTCGACGAACATAGTAATCAAGGATTTATTTTATGATTACTTTTGGGGATATTCAAACTCTACTGGAAACCTCCAATGAATTGTATCACCCACCAAGAATTAATGACAAGCTGAAAGATTGCAAATGATGCTTTAATGTGATTTGTGACTCAAAGACCTTTGAAAATTGAAAAAGATTGAAGCTTTTGCATAACATAAATCTTTAAATTCTTTGTTTGGTTCTCATTATACTAGGGTAGGCCTACTTCACAAGCAATAATGAAAACGGATAAAAAAATAGCATTGATAATCACGTTCAAATATACATCATTTAAGCTTTTTTAATGACGGAGAAGTGAACCATGCTGTCAAGTGCACAAGATAATGTAAACTAACACACAGTTCACTGCCCGTTTCTATGGAAACAGATGCGCACACTGATTAATGGCATGATAACGTAAGGCACTGCACCTGTGACTTGATCTCAGTGTATTCGATAACAGATAATATATTCCCAGGTTTGGATTGGCTACCAATTGAGAAATCTATTCCAGACAAAATTTCGAAGAATTTTCTGGAGCCAACATGCTTGAGAGCACAGGAAGTAGGATGCGAGTAAATGAGCTGTAAGTCATGAACGTTGGACTAGTATTCAGAATGCATGCAGAAAAATGATCTGAGAAAATGTTCTGAATAATTGGAAAAGTGGAGAATCTTAGTATGCACAATATAATCGTCGATATTTTGAAGGAATGCTTAACAGGATGAATATCATCTTCTTTAAAAAAAAATAAAGTGGTTATGTACAATTTTGATGAAACAAAAATGGAGATTAGCATTAATTTCATAATTTAAACTAATAAAAAATTCTTAATCTGAACCTCCAAAGTAATTTCTTCAATAATGTCTTTAAAAAAAAGAGAGGTTAGGCTATGGTTGGCCTGAAAATTATTTTTGTAAGTTTAAGTTAGTTGATCAGCACTTCTGTTGCGGCAAGGAAACCTTTCTTGAATTCTTGCTCGGAGAATCGTTCCACTGATGCTCTTGCACTCTGTCGGATCTCCAACCGTTCCTCGGGAGTCATCTTGAGGATAGCTTCCATGGCATCAGCATAGCTCTTCACGTCATTGGCAAGGAACCCTGTCAATTTGCCATTGATTTCCACCACAATGTCCATCTTTGGCCCCCCTGAGTCGTGGGCCACGATAACTGTCCCTGCGGCCATGCATTCCACAACACCTGGGGGTAAAAATGAATGACAAAACTCCAGGTTTGGCTGGTGCATTATCAATACATCTGATTCACTTACAGAGGCAAAGTCTTGTGTCCTTGAGCAAGACATTTTACTCAAATGTCTCTCCTCCCCAAAGGAGCACTGAAGGGCCTGGAGGATTAAGTGACTGCATGTGGAACAGGCTGTAATCACTGTGACAATGAGTGATATAAACACTTCGTCCCTTGTGTAAGTTTGGTATATAATATTATAAACATGTGAGAACCAGTGGAAATGTAAGTGTTCCTTACATTGGATATCACTTTGAAATGAAATGGGCCTCACTGTTTATGCATGGAGTTTTTACAGGGCAGGAGATACACACAGTTCTGAAATGGTTGTGCACTGACGTTGTACACTTGATTCCAAAGGCATAAGACACTTTACGGAATATTCACATAAGTTTATTATGTGGCAGGGGGAGAGGTCAGGATTGCTGAAAAGGGGACAGACACAGACTTAGTGTAACAAGTCATTTAGCCAAGGAGCATTTCTGTTGGTTTCTGGGGATCCCGGCTTCTTAACAAATGGTGACCACCAGTCTTATGAACATTTTTTTCATGTGATTTTATTTTGATTTCCACTAGAAAGAGTAAACTGAGCTTTCTTTTTTTGATGCATTGCTCAGTTTGCTGTCCTGATGAAAAAGAAAATTGTTGATGGTTCCCATTGCTTGACATTGTACAAGATTCTTTTTAAGTTCTCAGAACATGGATCCGGTGACTCCTTTTTTAGGTTGGTCAAAATTATGTTCTACCAAGCCACTGTTCCCTTTGTGTACACGTAGAAATCAGCACTGTGAGGTTGACTTAGCTTGAGGTTGATGGGACGTAACTGTCTGCAGTCTGATTACCTGTTAATAACTCATCTTTCTGACCTACCTATTCCAAAGTGTTCATTCCACATAGTGTGCAGTCCAATGGTTGCAGCAGACAGATGTGCTCTGAGATCATCAAATGAAATGTTAAGCAAGAAGTCAACATTGGGACGGATGTTGAAATCCTCGCACATCTCCCTCAGCATGTCAATGCGATCGGCGTCGCCTTTGTTCCTACAACTGCCGATCAGCTCTAGTCGGAGGCTGTTCCACTCCTCCATTGGGTATCTCCTGAGGAGCTCATTAAAAGCCTTGATCTGCAAAGGGTGATCCTTCTCCGGTCGGAACTGAGCGATGGATACAATGACATGCTGCTTTCGTCCCTCTTCGAGAACCAGCGGCTGCTGAAGGAAGGCGTCCGTGTCACAAGGCGGGTACACAACGCTCGTCCGTGCTGGTATCTGCCAGATGTCTTGTATGTGTCCATTCGTCCACGAGGAGTTGACCATCACCACATCACTTCGTGCACCCATAACCCCATAGAGACGGGCAAACAAGCGGTAGTAGACCAACTTGAGGGAGCTGAGCACGCGGCTCCGGGCGACAAAGCCAGGGTTGTTGTATGTGGCCGTCCGCTTCGCCACCCGGCCAAGCATATCAGTGCTGATGGTCGGGTAGTGTACATAGCAGCCCACCTTGCACTGGCCAAAGTACTTGAAGAGTGGGAGGGTGAAGGCGTAGCCCATGGAGTCGATGTACACATCTGGCACACAGCTTGTCAGGGCCTCCCAGCCTAGCACCATGGAGCCAAGGCTCTGCCCCAGGAGGGTGAAGAAAGGATAAGTCTCAGCCTCCACCATGCGGCGTTTCTTGAGATAGACAAACTCTACGGGTTTGGTGAGGGTGATGTTGAAGCGTTGCTTGGCCTTGCGAATGATCTCTTCCCCCCCGACATCGGTATCACCTGTGTACACCACACACTTCACAAAGGAGTACCTGCAAGCAACACTGTAACACTGAGTATCAGTGTTATACATTTAGTTGAGACTCGTTAAGACAAGACACAAGACCAGTTGGAAAGAAACAGGGTGAACAATGATGAAGCAATGCCTTTGTTGCAGCTCAGGTGAATAGCTGAAATGACTTGAATTCAGACTGAGTCATGTTGGATCTTGTAATGGTCTTAACCACTTCGCTCTGGGGTGCCCAGTACCGGTGACACAGTGCGTGGCCCACGAGGCCGGGATGCCCGAAATGGGAACTTTCTTTTAAAAAAAAAATTTAGGTACTGGGCTTTTAGAAAACAGTACTTGCTGTCAGTCAAATGTTTGGGCCATCAGCAAAGGTAATTCCATCATTGATGGGCAAACAGTGGGTTCACTGGACTGGAAAACTGGGCCTTTATTCATAGCAGGATTGACCGAACCTGGAAACAAAAACCGAGCTGCTGGGACTTGCCAATGAAGGTTCGTATACTGACATAGCAGTTCGTATAGCAGACTGCTGGCCATTAACAGAGGTCATCAGTCATTTAAATATGGCTTTTGCCCTTACCCAACATGTATTTATATTTAAATAATCCGTCATTGTTTTTGAAACCATTGTTTGCTGCTGCCAGCCTCAGTGGATTATCAGCGTGCACAAAAGCACACTCTCCAGCAATTAGCGATACAATCCTGCTAAGTGCTAGTGGGAATCTGGCCGCAGTGTGCGGCCTTCATTGTGCCAGTGAATATATGAATTTTGGAAGAATTGTGAAAACAGAAAAAAAGTGCCCAGCCCAGCAGCCTGAACAAGGGTAACAGCCCGGAGTAAAATGGTTAAGAGGTCTCAACTGCAACACGGCTGAGAATCAATGCTTCTTGTAGTATCAAATAGTTCAAATGCCACACAAGAAACATTTTGGAGTTTTATATCACACATACTTTGATTAAAAATCACAGTGCTAAAAATATTCCACGTGCCATATCTGAAAAAAGTGACACAGCCTGGAATTTAGTTGAGGAGTTGAAGGTGTGAGGTTAATATAACGTAGTTTCTTGAGCAAGGGTGTAAGCAGGCTCTTATAATTTTGTCTGAAATCACGATGGATCCAGGCGAAGAAAGCAAATGTTGGCGGCAAACTTCAGACTTAAGATATGAAGTTATACCAAACCTTTCCTGCAAAGATGCGATGGCACACCACAGCACCCGTTCCCCTCCCCCACCGGCATTACAGTACGGGTGGAAGAAACCCACCACCACCGGCTTCTTCCCATCCTGGTCTTGCTCCCTCAGGTGACTGAACTGACTTCTACCCCTCTGCTGGACTCTTCTTCTCAGAGCGTAAAAGAGCAGGACACCCAGAGGGCAAGTAAGCAGTAAAAAGAGCAGCATCGGCTTCAGTAGACTATACATGCACCTGTGAAAACACCAGTAAATTAAAAAAGGATTTAACTTTTTGCTTGCAAATCCAATGATTAACAATTATCTAAAAGTTTCCAAGTTTAGTTGTACAATGTACATGTATACTGAGCCCAGTGCTAACCTACTTCCGAAAAAAAAAATGACATAAATGAAAAGTTCTTGATACTACAGTCATGATATTCATAACAGTTTGTCAACAGACATGCTGGAGCACTCAATATGCTGAATTGCAGCAAATTATGTGATCCTGTTACAGCCAACTGTATTTGGCACTGATGTTGTTATCCCAACTAGAATGCTATAGTTGGGCCGGCCCAACTAAAGCACAGAGGTTCAGTGTGCATGTGCCCAGCATGTACCAAAGTCATGTCATTTGCTATGTCATGTTATAGTTGAAGTGCCATATTCTAGATGAACTGTGTCAAGTGTGTGATGCATAAACTTGGATAAGGTTGGGAAATTAAACCTACTTTTCTATAACGAATGAAAACTTCTGTGCGAAAGACCACATCATGATTTGGTGACAAATCTCAAATGGAATCTCCAATCCCTTCCCTGCCTCCCCATACCCTAGCCCACCGTGTTGTAAAGGACCCCTCCCATGCAGGCTCACTGATCACGGCCCTTGCCCAGCTGCTACGCATAACGCGTACGTAGCCAAGCATTGAAGCAGGCCTGAATTTCATCATAGGTCCACATTCATGACATAATATTGCAAATTGCAAAGTCTCAAATTAGAGAAACATATTTTCACTAAATAAAGTAAACATCGCCATAAAACTAACACTAACCTGATAAAAAAATGTACCGACATTATTTAGGTTCGCATGTCAATAACAAACCATACAAACGGATAAACTCAAAAACGAGGAAATGGAAGTGAAGTGAACGGTTCGGTACTGCTGTTGGGGATTTTGTACACGGTACCAGACTCAACACTTGTGCTAACGACTAACAGGCTTAGCGAAGTCCGGGGACACGCCAAAAGAAAATGCGTCGTGTTTCTAAGCTCACGCTTCCATTTCTCAACAGGGAGCGAAAGGTGCATCAGACTAAACAGGTACGTGCAAAATTGTTATTTGACACACTAGTCATACATGGTAGTCACGATCATGACATCGCTTGGTGTTGCTGGCTGGGCGGAACCGAACGAAATGCTACCTCGTCGCGAATTTTAAATCATCTGCCTCTAAAAAGCTGTATCTGCTTGGACATGTTAACGTGTCTGGTATTTTATTGACACGAAACTGAAAAGGTAAGTATTTTCTTTTTAGCCGGTTATCCGCATCAGCATGATCAGGCTATCGCTAGAGCGGTGCGCCATCGCCCTTGGTCGATCACGACTGGCTAACGTCAGGCTTACCTTCATTGAGTTTGATCAGAACATGAACACCATTCAGTACTTACGGTTGATCGTGGACAAAATTGTAAATGTTGCATTCTGGACGAAATCTCCGAGGGCACGATGGCACAGTATCCTGCCATTTAACCCCAGATCTCTGGGCTCTGTCATGTCCGTCGTCCGCCGGACTCCGATACCACTTTCGTTGGAGCACGGAGCTATCAAACACAAGGAGTAAGAACGAAGTCCCCACAGACCGAAATCCGATTAACTGCTCTGGTGGGTTCCGCAGGCATAGTGAATTCACTTTGGCAGATGACTGTGACATCATGCTTAACAACTGTGGGGTTGATGGTGTCAAAAAAGGGCAGAGTTTTGAGGGAAATGATGGGGGAACTGTGACTAGTGTGAGTGTTTTAACACTTCAGACGGGCCCAATTATAGTTGGGACTGATGCTACAGTTGGGGCGTAACACATTTACAAGTAAGGAAAAAATGCATTGTGCAATTCATACTGTAAGCATACTTGGTACCATCAGAGCTTTGCCTGCCGGACAAAGTAAAGTGAACACTTCCAATAATATACCTCTCTGTTGCCGTAGAAACGCATCCTCTATTGAAAGCTCAGTTGTTGTCATTCGTTATGTAGTTTCAGACAACACTGATGACCATGGATGTGTTGGGTGCCAACTGTCATTGCTGCATCATCAGCATTGAAGGCATGACATGCAATTCGTGCGTGAAGAATATTGAGCAGCAAGTTGGACAAGTGGATGGTGTGCAGCACATCAAGGTTGGTACCCTGTACATGTACACCAACCACATTGTGCTTGGATCAGTTCACAACAAGTTGGCCTAAGCGGGGGATTATTTTTTTAGCCGATAAATGCCATTTTGGAAAAGAAATGTATATTAGGGCTGTTCCAAATACAACTTCAGCTACAAGTTTTTTCCTTTTATCTACAATCTAATACTCCTCAGAGGTATTGTCGCTGAAAATACTGGTAGGTACTGGTTTTATTTGTACATGTACACCCTTCCTCATCAGTGGCAGCTCAGTAATCGACTACTTCTTGATTTCCATGATGTTCGTTTGTTTGTTTTTTTTGCGAGGGTGATTTGTGTTTTCAATTGCTTTTTCAGTGTTACCCTTGTCCACGTTGTACAGTGTACATTTTACCATTACATGTGTATGTACATGCGGGTACATAAGTGTACTGTGGGTGGGGATTATTAACTCTTCAGTTTCCGTTAGCTATTCTATTGTTTTTGAAGAGATTAGCATTTATGCTGGCAGTAGCAGCGATCTGACAGTGGTTCCAGCTTGCATTTTAACTCCATTTCCGAAGCTCATGTGTCTATTTACGCTTTTTGTAAGAAATAGCTGTAAGGCATGAAATTGATAGTGATCATGAACTTTTAGTTGTTTTTTTTTAACATATGCACACCCAGGGGGTGTTTATGGGGATCCAGAGCTCGTACTGCTAAACACCTCTTTCTGGAATACCACCCAAAGGTTAGGTTGTAGGAATGTTTTTAGTAACTGTATGCTTTGTATTTTAACATATTGTGATTGCAGTTGAGGTGTTTTGTGTCTGTTTGTGACTGGTTTTACCATCTGTATTTTAATATTTTATTGACTAAGTTTTTAATTTAGGTTATTGTGATATACAAGTGGAAGCCAAATTTCTATGCTTTCTACATGGACTAATGAATGAATGAAGTTTGCAGTGACAAAAAGTTAAAAGTGAATGCATTGTATTAACTAACAATTTTTAACAAGAAGGTCTGCCAGAGATGCCTTTATTCCATTCATGTTAAAACATTTCTACACTAAGGGAGGGAATTAACGTTTAATTTGAAAAATGTTTAGAAAACTTTCCCATACGGTTTTAACGTTTAGCCAACACTTTAGAGAGGCCACCATCATCTACCTCAGGTGCTTCACATACGTGTGTGTATATGCATAATTATAGTTCGACAATGCGCATGGTCCAACCAATGTAAAAATGTATATTGATGTTGAGGCTTTTAAATCAAGCAATGTTTATTGTTTAACATGTAGAATCCACTTTTTTTATTCTCAGACAGTACCGTACATGGATGCCGAAAGTGTAACAGGCATCATTTACAATAAAAATGAACTCTGGGTTGCATGTGCACATTTGTATGGTACAGGCATACATGTGTACTTTCTTGCGTGACATGGAGGCAGACTTGGTTTTCAGCCTTCTGCTGTATTTGTAATTACCAAAAAGTCATTTTGATTTCTATTGTGAATCTTCCAGTGCAGAATAAAAATATATTGAAAAAAATAATTAATGAGATACCAAGTTACTATAAGCCTTTGCACATGTCAGCAAAACAAAGAACAAATGTGGATCATCGGGCCTGCCCAAAGCATCTTTGCTACATGTACAAAGGAGGACAGCAACAGTTTTGAAACAAGTGTTTAACCCTAACTGCCCAAAACCTGCCATACTCCAACAGCAGGTTTTGTGAGGTTTTGGCAGGTTTGGTACTGTACCTGTGGAACTTCTTGTTGAATTTTGTGAGACTTGGGATGAAAGGCCCAGGGAGATCAGGTTGGATTCTGTGTGAGTTTGGACACACACGGGTCACTGTATGCAATGTCTGGCTTGCTGTACCAATTGTTGGACTATGCTTGATTTTGTCAGGTTTAGTACTGTTCAGTGCAAGTCATCCTATACTGCATAGTCCCATCCACACCATATCACTCAAACTCCAACGGGCTCATTCTGTTGAAGTTTATCAGGTTTGGTACAGTAACGTGCATGTANGTGAGGTTCAGTATGCTTTCTAGTGCAGGAGCCTAGGGGGTTAGGGTTAAAGGTGGTTTCCTTTGTATTTCACTATTCAGTTGTCTTTTTCAAGCAATATCCCCTCCTTCGGCTTTTTCGCTTTTTTTTTCACTCCGTAGATTAGGCTGTTGAGAGCATTACGTGATAGAAAAGCTTTAGTTAAGGATCCACATTGTTATCATCCGTTGCAGAAACAATTCACTTTATGCAAATAACCAACGAGGAAATACATTTACGACATATACACACCTTCCTTATCTGCACAGTGAGCACTAAAAACTCTGTGTCATTCACTGGGGCTGGTTACTGAAGCAGGAAAAAGATTCTGTGCATGTACAGTACATGTATGTACGGCCCTTCCAACACCACTTTCACTTTGTTCCTGGTTTTGGAATTGTTATAATGCCTGCATGTTGAATAGGATTTTGCCAGCCTCGGCCCTGCATTGGCTTTTTGATTGTTTGGTTCTGACGGCATTAGCGTTGAAATGAATCTACAGATGTAACCAGGATCTGCTATTTTGGGAAGAATTTTTATGTAACCAGGATCTGCTATTTTGGGAAGAATTTTTGTGTTGTGGGGACCAGTTCTAATAATGAGTTAATATCGTGCAGTGTGCTTGTGCAGATGGCGGGTGTACGTACACAGTGTAAGTGTGGTACTTGTACATGTAAGTGTCAAATGTATTGATTCAAACAGGTTCTCTGTGACGTTGTTGTTGGAAGTCATCTTTTTAATACTGTATGCAGTTTCAAGAGATTTTCATGGAAACACATATAGGAAAAGAGTAATTATAAGTAAGGCATCTTTTCCGTAGAAGTGTTTTAGTGTGCCTCATGTCTGTCTGTGCTTAAGCACCAGAGAGCGTTCATTGAAATTGTACTGGATTGAAATTCGCTGAATGTGTGCAGATGGACCAGACCATAAACATACTTTTGGAAAGACAGTCTTAAATCCTTTGCAGAAAAGGGAAAGGGTAGTACCCTAACTTTATTTTCACTATTCTAAACATCTTTGTAACATTACAAATTACTCTCTGACTGATATTTGAAAATTCAATTCTACTGTGTGCGCTCTATCTTTTTGAACATCCTTAAAAATGTTATCCGTGCATATGCATAATACATATTGTGGAATTTGTCACATTGGATATGACAAGCACAAGATGGCAGACGTTCATGGTCATATTTGGATGTTGTTCATTGATTATTCACGTTATGTTAATTCCCTGTTGATGGTTCTTCATGCTGTGTGACAGTCATAAATCACATCTTGATTGTGTATTGTTTTGGTACCCTACAGTCAAGAACAGTATGTTGCAACATTTATCAGTAGTGGACTTTAAGACTTATTGATTTTTGTATATAGTAAGTTGCACTTTTGAATTTGCTTGTTTTTATCCTAGAACAATTTTTGGTTTAGTGAAAAATAAAAATTGCAGAATTTTTCTTGTCCTTTGTAGGTGTCTTTGGATGAAAAAAGAGCAGTTATAACCTTTGACCCCTTGAGGACTAACCAATCAAACTTGAGAGACCGAATTGACAACATGGGTTTTGAGGCAGCTATTGGTGATGATTCCCTGCAAATGGGAATCAGGGAAACTGTTGTGACTATCACAGGAATGACGTGTAATTCTTGCGTAAAGTCCATAGAGGGAAGACTTGGAACAATTCAGGGAGTCTGTGGTGTACGTGTTTCTCTTGAAGCAAAACAGGGCCGAATTTGGCATCAGCCCTCAGACATCAGTCCGCAGCAACTGTGCCAGGAAATCGAAGAGATGGGGTTTGAGGCTTCACTGGCTGTGGGATGCCAACCACAAGAGGTGAAAGAAGTTGTCATCTGCATCAAAGGGATGACCTGTAATTCCTGTGTGCGCTCCATCGAGGGTCGCATGTCGGATATGGATGGGGTGGAGAAGATACAGGTCTCGCTTGAGGAGAAGCTGGGCAGGATGCGGTACTTGCCCTCGATTGTCTCACCAGAAACCTTGAGGAGTGCCATTGATGACATGGGGTTCGAAGCAACGCTGAAAGATGATGCGGTGCCGATGGCTGGTTCCCGCGTCTCGGTTACCATCCATGTTGAGGGGATGACGTGCAGTTCCTGCGTTCACTCCATCGAGGGCAGGATATCCACATTTGATGGAGTTCACAACATCAGTGTCTCGCTGGACAAGAAAGAGGCCCGGGTTCAATTTGATCCACGGAGGACCACGGCGGAACAGTTGCGAGAGGGCATTGAGGACATGGGGTTCGATGCTACCCTGCCGACAAACTTTGTCCTGATTGACCTAAATGCTGTCACGTCTCTTGCACAAACAATCAATCTCAGGGTGAAGGGAATGACCTGCAATTCGTGTGTAAAGACCATTGAAGAGAAAATCTCGGAGCAGCATGGAGTTCGGGAGATCAAAGTGTCTCTTCGGGAGGAGAGGGCCACCGTCAAGTATAATCCATCGGAAACGAACCCAGACAGGCTGAGGGAAGCAATCGATGACATGGGATTTGAGTGTTTCATCCCGGCAGAGGGCATGCCAGAGGCAGGCCATGTCGTCATCAATATCCAGGGCATGACCTGCAACTCCTGCGTGAGGTCCATTGAGGGGAAGATCGGGGAGAAGGCAGGAGTGAACTCCATCAGAGTTTCCCTGGCTGAGAACAGCGGCACGGTGGAGTATGATCCCACCAAGGTGACAGCAAGTGAGCTTATGGCGGCCATAGATGACATGGGATTTGAGGCTTCACTTCAAAGTATGCTTGCTACATTTTTGTCTGTTTTATTTTCTTTCATTTTGAGATTACATGCATTTCATTTCACTATAAAATGATTACAAGTTCAACTTGTTTACGAGGGTGACCTTGTGTTTCAACTTCTTATTAATCACCCCTATTAATATCTTTCAAATTTTTGTTTAGGATGATTGAGATTTGTGGAAGTTGTGGAAAACTTTCCAATTACATGTATTTGGTTGTTTGTAACACATAGTTATGTTTAGTCTCAGAAATAATCTGAGCAAGGTGTGGACTGAAAAAATCCGTTCTTGTATGCCATTTATGTCACAACTGCGTAACCCAGTGTATTCAGAATTCAAGCAGATTTATTTCTGTGTTCTTCCTTTACAGAGCCTTGCCTGGAATCTGGCAGTCTCCAGCCACCGAACCAGCGCAAGCTGCCGGAGGGGGCCCATGTGTCATTCAAGCCCCCAGTGGACCGAGAGGAGATGGCGGTCGTGGACCTGATGGATGGCGAAGTGGGCAAGTGCTACCTGCATGTGACAGGCATGACCTGCAGCTCCTGCGTGGCACTCATAGAGAACAAGCTTGGCAAAAAGAAAGGTGAGACTTAAAGAGGACACATGGATGACAACAATTGGCAGAATTGGCAGATGGCAGAATACAAGGCTCAGCTTTAAAGTATCAAACTGCTATTTCCAATTAATTTTGCAATTCCTGGAGTTTTCGTGGGGGAAGAGTTAAGGTAGATGAAAATGAGGTCCCCAATAATTTTTGCCATTCAACTTGTGAAACATTTTCTTGTTGGTTTTTCATTGGTAAGAGAATGGTTCAGAAACAAAAACAGTACAATTGGCCAAATGACAGGTACATTAGCAGATCTGACATTTGCTGTATGATGTTCTACCCATGTGAGCAGGAGGTACTGTTGCAGAAAGTACTTGTGCTGTTGTGGATGTCTTCTGTCAAGAAGATGCTGAAAGTGCAAATTTACAAAGTTAAATGGGAAAGACCCAATGGTTCTGTAATGCACAACATTCGATAATGTACATGTACTGAGATGACCCAAATGTGGTGAGCTAGCCTGTGAGAGACTTCGCATCTACAGCAACATGGCAGTGGTTTTTGTTATAAGTTTTGCCTGCCTTTGTCTCCTCCCAGGCATCAAGTCAGTCATGGTCGCCTTGATGGCCCAGAAGGCCGAGGTGACCTTTGACACTTGCCACCTGACCCCAAGTGAGATTGCTGCCATGGTAACAGACATCGGGTTTAAGGCCACGGTGATGGAAGATGAAGAACGTAGGGCCAAGGAAGGCTTGCTTGAACTGCATGTAAGTCAGCCATCTTGTGTGTTTGTTTGTCCATTGGCCTGTCAATGCATCCGTTTGTTTGGTTTTCAAAATATTTGTGAAAAACAGAGCTGCAGTTAGCACAAATGGTACACGTACATGCATGTGTTTGCTGAGTGAAATAGGCAGATCAACTTTGTCAAGGTTTTTAAGGCCTAATGTCACCAAACTGTTGACCCAAAGAGCCAGCCATAGCATCAGATATTCTCATCCAATTCATTGGTCCCATTACCCGAAAATGACTTTTTGAAGTCTGAACCCAACTTTCTTGAAAATGTCTTAGTTGTCAAATGCATACGAACCAGCTACAGATTGTAGTCAGTGTGTTTCATCTACAGATTTGGCTCTCAGACTTGAAAATTCAACAAAGATCAGCACCTTTGATCAGCGATCAAAGCTTGAACATGTTGCCTCAGTTTCAGTCATAACTGCTCCATTCACTGTGAAGAATGTTCAGCATATTGGCCGGCAAAGGCAACCAAATGGCACAACAAAGTTTGTGTAACTTTGTGGTGATATTTTTACACAGATCTCTGGCATGACGTGCGCATCCTGTGTGGCTCTGATAGAGTCCACTCTCACCAAGAAGCCAGGCATCAAGTCGGCATCTGTGGCTTTGGCAACCTCTAGAGGGTGCTTTGAGTTTGAACCCTCCATCACGGGGCCGAGGGATATCATCAAGGCTATTGAAGTAAGACTGTTTCTCTTCAATCAGCTTCAATAAAAAACTTCTTGTTATTTTCATCATATCTCAAATTAGGATTATTTTGTTTCTTAACCCTTAACTTGTGGGAGAATACAAGCAAAGTTTATGCGAGTTTTGAATATTTTTTAATTTCTCTCACTAATTTTGTGTCCAATCATTTTACTGTGAGGTTGTGTTTGATATCTGGCACAAATGTGTTGTCTTCTCATGTTTAGGATGCAGGATTTGGAGCCAGTCTAATCACTGATAGCAATAAGGATAAGACTGCTGCCTTAGACCACTCAGACACCATAAGAAGGTTGGAACAGAATCGTACATCACATTATAAATGCACTTTAACCCTAACCCCCCTCAATCCTCCAAAATCCTTTTGGCTGATTTGGAGGATTTCGGATGATTTAGGGTGAATGGCAAAAGTGCATGGCTAATTGCAAAGGATGTCATGCATTAGACTTTGTGTTGTATTTGCTTAGTCATGCATAAATTCAGCCCGATATTCTTTTGAATCAACTGCACTGCTCAAGAATGCCATTTGCCTCAACATAATAACAGGAATTGCCAGAGGATTTGAAGGATTGAGGCAGTAGGTACACCTCCAGGTAACATTTTCAAGAAATTATCGAGGATTTCGGAGGATTGAGAGAGAATCCAATTGTTTTTCACTGCCAAATTAGAGGATTTGGGAGGATTGAGGACGGTCCCTAGCAAAAAAGGCCTAGGAGGTTAGGGTTAATACTCTGTTTTGGATGTTTTACATCCACCCTGCTCATGGTCTGGTCTAATCTGGCTTCTCTTGTTAGTCGGACATGCAGTCTGCCAAATGTTCATGTTCTTAATGGGAAGCTCTCTTCAGAGCTTTGGGAGGGTCTTTCTTGCGGGGTGGATGTGTGAAGTTTTTGTGGTAGTTTGATGTTCTTTACTTCCAGGACAGCTGAATAAGAGAGACCTGTTGATCGTCTGCACTCACCCTGCCCCACAGAATTCCCTTCTGCATTGTAGACTTTCTTGACTAGTTTTCTCGTCAGTGCTTTGGTACTTTTTGGTCACCAGGTGGCGCCGTTCGTTTCTCTTCTCTCTCGTCTTTGGCGTGCCGGTCATTGTCATGATGCTGTATGACGTCATAGCACACCCCATGCACCCGTGTATCTTCCCTGGACTCTCCGTGCACAACCTTCTGCTCTTCTGTTTCTGCACACCAATACAGGTCAGTTGCAACATCCTGCTTCCCGTAACAGTCTTAAGTTCATGTTTTGGTCAATCGAATTCCAAAACCTACTGTTTCATTGTTCTGTGTCAGCTGTCATTCACTGTTGTGCTGTAGCATATTGACCATTAGGAATGGTTTCAAATCTACACATCCCAAAAAATTTGAGTACTAGCCATAACGAAGAGATCAATTGTGACCCGCTCTGCAAAAAGGTGTAATAAGTCGAGCAGTGCAAAAATGCAGAAATGGCCCATTCCATGTGCCGAGGGTGAAAATATTTGGAAATCATTTTGAGGCCAATTGCTTGACCAGAAAGCCTCGGTTGCTAAAGAAAACCAAGAGAGTGTCTAATTTCAGTTTAATGTTTCTTTTCATTACGTTTAAAGGGCATTGTCTCAAAAGCATGTGTGATAAAATGAAATTATATGAATATAAAAAATATGCAAATGGCAAATAAGTCAAAAATGCAAAATGCCACTGGGATGAATTGTATATCAAATGAAAGCTTTGGATGGGAGCAATGCGATTATATATATATAACTCAAACTAAAAAAATGTGACATAATACACTGTTTTGAAGAGCTGGTCACAATTTTTAAAGTACGTTTTGTCCTTTTTTATTGATTTCTAAAGAGCAGTACCTAAAATATTTTGTTGTTGGGTTTCCCATTCGACCATTGATATTTGAGTAATTGAGTTATATAATGTGAATTCGTTTTTGCATGTACATGTATGGTGTAACTTGTCTTCAGATTTAGTCAAAATTATTAGGTGCATTTAACCAAGTGTCACGTTTTTTGCATAGAAACAAATCTCAGGCATGAGGCCTTGTATAAAGAGTTATGGTGGCTTGACTTTACAGGACTGAAACCTTGAAATACAGCAAGCAGCATAATTACAGGAAGGTTTAATGAAGTTAAACATTTTACACGTCCTGTTTGTTCCCAGGTTTTAGGGGGGCGTTACTTCTACATCCAAGCCTACAAGGCTCTGAAGCACGGTGCCGCCAATATGGATGTTCTGATTGTCTTGGCAACCACCCTATCCTATGTCTACTCTGTCATCATCCTTGTCATTGCCATCCTGTCGGGGGCCACCACCAGCCCCAGGACGTTCTTCGATGCCCCGCCCATGCTGTACATATTTGTGACGCTGGGACGATGGATGGAACATGTTGCTAAGGTTAGCGTGAGAAAATACTGCTTACATTATACAGTGTTGAAATTCACAGTTCACCAAGAGAATGGCATATTATGTATTAAAAATTGCTGCTTTTGGTAGAATGCCAACTTTCAGATCTTTGCATGTATGTGCATGAAACATGTGGAAATAAATGTAGGAGGCTTACATATTCCAACTATTAAATTATTTTTAAGTTGTCATTGATGCATGCCCTACTGATGATATCCCTTTTGTTGGCGGACTCAACTGAAAGGCTGAACAATTCCACATGGCAGCAGTTGTGGCTGATCATGTGCCTTGAAGTGTAATGTTAGTTCTTCTAACACAGCCATGTGAAGTGGAGTAAATGAAAAGAGATGATAGATGCATGAATTTATCAGTAAGAGGAAAGTTAAGCTGCACCTTCTTCGCAAATGTCAACACAAATGTGAAAGACATTGATATGTTGACTTGCACGTAGACTTTTCACCGTTCTCTCTGTTTTTTTCTCCCAATTTGTTGCTGAACCTCACTTGGGTATGCTGAGTATTTGTGAATTTATTTCAAGAGTTTTTGGTAATATGGTTGAGTAGTAAGTGCAGTGATGTTGTCAAACGTTTCAAAGCAACTTATTTTGAAATTTTTGCATAATTTTAATTGCCATTTCCCAAACCAATATTCATTGCAATTAACAAAATCAAAAAAACAAAACAAATGTAAACTACATGACCTGTAATTAATCCTTCCAGATCCTTCAAAACCTGCAAGGAGGCTTTGAGAATTTTAGTAGAGCCCAGCCATTGTTATTTTATTTGGGACTTGATGCCCCTCAAAAGTTTAAAGACCTTTATTTCAGCACAATAATGAATCTTATACGATGCAGCTGGAAACTGGTCAGATGCACCGTGCCATTTGTTGGAGAATTGACACACATAAATTACATTTGCATATTGCCTGGAAGAGATTACAATCCAGGCTAACTGATGTTAGTAGTTAAAGAAGGCTACCACTGTGGATATAAAAGGAAGTTATCCTTGTTCATTCCAACACAGGGCAAGACCTCAGAGGCCTTGACCAAGTTGATGTCCCTCCAAGCCACGGAGGCCCGCCTGGTCACCTTTAATGAGCTGGGTCAGCCGGATGCAGAGAAACTGATCGACGTTGACCTGTTGCAGCGGAACGATCGGGTGAAGATTCTACCAGGGGAGAAGATACCAGTTGATGGAGTCATCGTGGAGGGCTCTTCGATGGTAGATGAATCACTTATCACTGGAGAGTCCATGCCTGTTACAAAGAAGCTAGGTAATCATGCTTTTAATGGAATTTATACATTGCAAGTAAATGATGTCCGAATTTACCAGAGGATCAAGGCACTGCATTTCTTGTGGTGTTGTTACCCCTGATCGGCAGGCATATTTTCATTCCTGGATCTGGAGCCACATCAGGCAGCATTATCTGCTGTAGAATGTAATCAAGTGTGCATTGGATGACATACTTTGCCCTCAAAATTTCTGAGCTCAAATTTTACATCCTGTTTGATACATCTGATATGTAATGTGCAAGTCCATGGATGACATTTTGGACACAATTTCATATTTTTTACACATCTTATATTGCATCACTTATTTCTTGTACTGTTTTTTTTTACAATGCTAGGGAGCACTGTGATTGGAGGTACCATCAACCAGAATGGAGTGCTACTCGTAAAGGCCACCCATGTTGGTGCTGATACAGCACTCTCTCATATTGTCAAGCTAGTGGAAGAGGCACAAACATCAAAGGTAGAAATAAACGCTTCATTTCTGCTGCATGGAATTTGAAAATCCTCACTTTTTTGAGATTGTTTAGAGGACAACTTTAGTGAAGTTATTCTTCTGGTACTTTAAGATATGGTATTGAATTAAAATGAAACCTATGCTGGTTTTATATGAAATGCACTTTTTTACATCACCTTTACATGTACATCATGTGTATGATAACTTGAGACTTTTTCCAATAGCCGTGGTGAAGGCAAACATTTGCAAGTGGTATGGATTGTGCAGGAGTTTGGTTGCACATGTTGTTTTTTCCATTTGGCTGAGACAGACTTTGAGTTATGAAAAACAGCCAGATATTCCACCAGTGAAAATGTAATTTGCCTCAAACTGCTTCCTGCAGTAAGCTACAGAGTACCATTAACAACTATGTGTTACTCATGGGCAGTCTGAAGTGATCAACCTTATCCTATGACCATCTTGTTGGCATCCAGGCTCCCATCCAGAAGCTAGCTGACCGCATCGCTGGCTACTTTGTGCCCAGTATTGTCTTCATCACGCTGGTCACCTTGACTGCCCACGTCATTAAGGGATACACGGATCCAGATATGGTGCATCCGACATTCCTTCTAAATGTAAGTCATGCTGTTGAGTCACCTCTCCGGCCGCAGTTGACCTCCTAGGGATCCAAAGATTGTTCAGTGCACTTAGATTGTGGTTGTTCCATATACATCCCAGTTGTGAAAATAGAATATTCCATTTCACACCAGTCAGGTGTCTCTTGGAACTACATTTTGCTGTCTGCTGTATGGCTTGCACTGTTTCTCTGCTGCCTAACAGTGAGCCGTGTAGTGTTGTATGGAATTTCTAGTCGTGTTTCATTCCCATGAAGTCTGCTGCAAGGTGTAACTTTTAATGTGTGTGTCCTCCACGACAGACGAACCACAACATGAGCAGCAGCCACATGATCTGGCAGTATTCTTTCCAGTGTGCCATCTCTGTCCTGTCCATCGCCTGCCCCTGTGCTCTGGGTCTTGCCACCCCTACTGCCGTCATGGTGGGGACTGGGGTGGGGGCCATCAATGGCATCCTCATCAAGGGAGGGGGACCCTTGGAGATTGCGCACAAGGTAGGAACGGTGTTATCTACTCGCATGCACAGACAAAAGTACATGTGTCACAGGTGACTGTAAGGTGGCTGGCAACCAAATGCATGTATGCACTAATATACAAAGAGAAACAGGCTACCAGGCAGTTCACCTGCACATTCGTGCAGAATGATGTAACATTGATAGAATCAAGTGGTTAGTAGTTCCATTCCAGATTCCGGCCATGTGTTGTGTCAGCATTCCAACAGCACTATCAGCACAGCTGTATACCAACTTGCACGCTTTAAGTTCTTGAATGGCCTTGCCCTTTCAAAGTTTTTAACTGACTCATTGCACACGTCTTTTGCCCATTCGAACATGTTGACATTTGACATTCGTTCACACAAGGGAGTAAAATTCACCTGATGATTGCCAACGTTTTGTTTCTTGGTTCAGATCAAGACGGTTGTGTTTGATAAGACTGGGACCATCACCCAAGGTGCCCCTAGAGTCGTACGAGTCCTCCTTTTTCTCTCAGACTCCATCATCTCCCAGCAGAAGCTGGTTGCCCTGGCCGGCTCAGCAGAGGCCAACAGCGAGCACCCCATCGGTGCTGCCATCACCAAGTTTGCCAAAGAGGTCAGGCATGCCTTCTCAGTCTGGACCATTCGGGCGACAAATAGAAATTTGTATGCTGTAAATGAACCATAAATTTGGTAGTTGGTACCCAACATATCGCGTCAAATGTTCTGGCTTTATTTTTTTTACACACTGAGTCAGCCATGTCTGTTGGGGAAATGCATCACTAAAGGAATATTGCTGCCTTGGTTGGAAACTGGAATTTGTGGTTTGTTCATATAATTTTTTTTGTAATTTTCTGTAGAATAATCTTGCAGAACTATATAAAATATACTACTGTCACCATCCTACGGTCTTGTGATTATTTCAGGGGGAGATGATATGAAGGGGGCACGTTGTAGTCCTAGTGTGTTTCTATTCTATAGGAAATAATCAGTTGATACTGTTGGTCATTGCCAATTCTACCCAGTCAAGCCTCGTGTGCAATTTTTTTGATTTTTGTATTCTGGTGCAGATACCTTCAAGATTATTTTTTCCCTTCTGGACAGATCTTTGGTCGGGGCACGTTGGCCAAGTGCACAGACTTCAGCGCCGTCTCTGGGTGCGGTCTGATGTGCAACGTCAGCACCACGGAGACGGAGCAGCTGCTCAGCCAGTGCACAGATCGCAGCCTTGGTGACGTCACATCACAGGCAGATAAAGGCCAAGTGACGGTGGAGATTGACAGGCAGATAGTGGACGTGTTTGACTGCGTCCCCCCAATCATGCCAGCCAGTGGAAAGGGTATAATTCAGTTTTGTCTTCGTCGACACTTCACCTGTATTTGAGAATGATTCCCAAGACTTCAAAATTAAGAGAGTAGGAAAAATATTTGAATTAATTCAGGGCTTCTGCGGCCTGGGAAAAACTTTGCAAATTGAATTTCATTTTAACTTCCAGGTCAGGAAGTCATGGAAATTTGTGAAAATGACACAAGTTCTGGAATTGTCCTGGAATTTTGTGAGAACTATTTATAAATGTTATACAAATGTGCTTTGCGTAGTGGTAGGGGAGCATTGGAAATTTGATTTTTACACGCAACTTGATGGGAGAAATTTCACTGATACAGGCATTTTTTGCTTCTTTTGCTTTTCATTTTAACAGGCACATTTCATGAAACAGGTTTACAGATCAGCATTTTGATGAACTGAGTCTTGAAGCTCCATAATTTGGTCATGGCAAAAATCATGGAATCTTGTCTCAAGAAGTGCAGGAACCCATTTTAAGTTGACCCCACATTAGAGGTCAAGGATTGCTAGCCATTCTTGGCCACACTCCTGTATCTTACTGGTTACAGCCATGACCACACTAGTATGTTACGTAACTGTTGCTCACTTCAACAATTGTAGGTGCTCTTTATATGTGTAGGGTAGTATTTAAAAATGAACCTTTTTTTGTGTGTAGATCAAGTGTCTGTCAACCTAAAGCAGCCTGACAACGGTCTGTACAAGGTCTTGATTGGCAACCGGGAGTGGATGAAAAGGAACTTCTGTGAAGTTACCATGGAGGTTGACCTGGAAATGAGCGACCACGAGGAGAGGGGGCAGACCGCGGTACTCGTCGCCATCAATGGTAAGCAATAGCTCAGGTTTTTGAACAGTTCAATGAACAAATAGAGAAGCATTGATTAACCCGAGGTCTTGGAAAGATTTGAATGTTGCTCTTTGCTTTGTATAATTTTGAAGCAGACCTCACCTTGTAAAAAAAAAAGACATGGCTGTTTTTAAAGGAACGGTTTCTTTTCTTGTGAAATACCTGGGATTTTGTTGAACAGTGGAAGTTATTCCCACTTGTGTTATACTGTATAACACTATGTCTATTCTCCAGTGATGTCCTAAAAAACTTATGGTGCTTTTGCATTGTATTGGGAGTAACAGGCAGGGCAGTTTGGAGCAGTACAGGGGCTAAATGGGTGAAGCTGTGATGCTGAAAGCTTTATGCCAGAGTTGAGTGAAGACTGGCTATGAACTACCATTGAGCAGACAGTTTTTATGAAGTGTAAGGGCAAACCTGTCACTAAAAGTTACCATCTCCCTGACTCCAAACACATCTTTGGAGATACCACAAATATATTCCACTAGTATGGTTTAATGTGTACTAACTACAGTCACGTCAGTCCTGTTGGTGTTTTTATTTCATGAGGGTCATTTGGGCTGAATTAAAGGCGTTCTTGTTAATGTTTCACTTGACTAGATGTGATCGTGGGTATGATCGTTGTGGCTGATGCAGTGAAGCCTGAGGCTGCCTTAGCCGTTTACATCCTCAAGAAGATGAAACTGAACACGGTACTGCTGACAGGGGACAATCAAAAGACGGCCCAAGCTATCGCTGGACAAGTAAGTTGGAATTCTCTGCTTTGTTGGATTGGTGTGCATTGTACCAAGTGACAGTGTTGTGGCACCATGTCTCCAGTTGCAATAGTTTGTTTTTATGTGACAACTATAATGTCATTGTATTCTGTTTTTTATGTCTAGGAGAACATACCTCTCTGCTTAAAACTCTTCTAAGAAGAAAAAGCTGGGTACCAGTTATGCAGCCTCTATTTTTTGGCTTTCACAAAAAATGTTTAGTGTAATTCGAGAACCAAAATTAGAAGCCATTACTGCGGTGGTACAATGGGCGCAGACAGGTAGCACGCGTGCGTAACATTGACCAATAGGGTGTCGCGATTTCCCAAAAGCGTGTGCGCCTCAAGATCAGGAATGTGGATGTGAGCGCCACGCCACTGCAGTATCGCATCTCCTCAGATTAGTCTCTATATATATGTACACGGGTGATTTTGGACTGGTACACGCTTGAGGTGGAGACAAGTAATTAAGGCAAAGTATCTTGCTTGTGAATACATATATTCACAAAACA